ATTCACATAAATTTAAATAATAAAGTTTGTGGTTGAATCATTATTGTTTATCAATTTTGTGCTTTTATTTTCCTATGATTTAAAATAAAAGAGAAAGATATTTTATCTTAATTTAAAATTACATACATCTAAATTTAAAATTATACTAACCTCTTTTATTTTAATTTAAAATTATACTTGGATAAACTATATTTTTAAAATTAAATAATTATCATATATATATATATATATATGATTTCTTCTCACAATTAATATTTTCTTCTTTATAAAAGGTAGAACAATCAAATTTTTCGTTACGAAAGCTTGGTACGATAAAGTTTCAAAATCAAACATGAAAAAGTCATTCTTGATTGTTGACTGGAAAATTCTCCTTTTGTGATGAGTTTGAATTCTTGGATCCTTTATTTATTTCAATTGTGATATTTGTTCCTTGAAATTTCAATTCATATATGTATTTGATTTAATTTTTTTATTTGTGGACTTCTAGAAAATCAAAACACGTGTTGCCGATCATCACAAGCATTATTATCTTTTATAGCCTTGAAATCAAAACACGTTTGATTTAAAATTAAATAATTATCATATGTATATATATATATATACTTATGGTGTATTCTCATTCTAATCCAATTTGTTTGATTTACTTGTTGTATAATTACATGTTATATTTCAATCATGGCAGAACATAAATTAATTATTATTGTCTTCCCTTTTTTTGAATTGTAATAACATCTATCTTTTAATGTTTACTATTTTGATTTAACTTTTAGTTTTGATATGGTAAACAAATCTTTTTTTATCTTATTGCTTATAATTTATTAACAATATCTTATATTTGAAATTAATAGAAAAATATAACAGAAAAAATCAAATATTTCTTTGTTAATTCAAAATTCAAAGATAACAAATTACATTTTTAATTTCAAAATTTTTCTTACCAAATCGTCTTTTAGAATTTAGGTATGATAATATTGTTTATTTTATTGTGAATTATTTTATTTTTATCAATTCAAAATCATATAAATAATAATCTTTGCCCATGTTTATTGGATTGGTGAATCCTAATTATTAGGCTAAATTTCTTTTCATTTTCATTGAAATTTCAAATTAAAATTTATAAATTTACCATGCAAAATTTTTTAGAGAAAAACAAAATTTGGGTTTTTAACTTGTAAATAATATGCCACATGTGTAAATTTTTGTTTTCACACTAAAATAATATATACTTTTAAAAATATATATAATTGTGAATAAGAGATTAACTTTTTTATTAAATTTTGTATGTAATTTTACTTTCACGATACAAAAGAATTTTATTAAAATTAATTTTTTTAAAAACTTGCATAATACTTATTTAAATTTTTTCATAATAATTTATATATAAATGGCTTTTGTAATTTTTATTATAAATTATAAATAATTATGAATATTTTTATTTATCTATATAAAATAAAAAATTAATATAAATTAAAATTTTAAATTATGATTAATATAATAAAAAAATCACATGACACGGGAAAAAAAAGGTAGTTTATTTTCTATTTCTATATGACGACAAAACCCAATTTTTTTTTCACATAAATTAAGATACAAACATATACCCGTACACAAGAAGGCTGCGAAACGTCGTGTAAAGCAACAAAGTGAACAACCCCCCCGGCCCCCTCCCGCCCCCCTCTTTCTTTTCCTTCGACTAATTCCACTCTGATAACGAAGGGTAGGAAAAATGTCTCCACATTTGCTTCGTTTTACTCTCTATTTGTCGTTGTCGACAGTAACTCAACAGTATCGCTGTCTGGCAGCGACCAACATGAACGACAAATTTCTTTGTTTGTTTTTTACCAACGTAAACCACAAATTTCTTTGTGTATTTTGGCCCAGATTTCTTGCGGTGAGACACTTCCTATTTTCAAGAAAATATTAATAGTATGAGTGGTTGGTGAATGACAGTGATTTATTTAATATATAATTTGAATTTTAAAATTTTTTAATATGATGTTTAAATTACAAATTTATTAAATAATTTAATATTTAGAGAATTAATTATACATTATATATTATTATTTAATTTAATTACGTTAAAAACAAATATCATATTAATTAATAAATTAATAATTTAAGTATTATATTAAAAAATTAAAATTTTAATATCATAATAAAATATTTTATTATAATTTAAGAATTATTTATTAAATTAACTATTTATTCTAAAATGTTACAAGTTTCTTGGAATTAAGATACAATAGCTCTGTACGGTAAAGAAAAAGCCCTGAAATTTTTAAGTTCATATTCAGATTTGATCCGGTCATGAATGAGATCCATTTAATTATATATTGATTTAGCTTGTTAATGATTTATATTTTTTCATGCATATTAAAAATTTAACAAAATGATCAAAAAAGTTTTTAAACTAAAATTTTGATCATCATTCAAACTTTTATTATTTTTTTACAATAAATTAAACTCTCAAATATTTTATTTTCATAAATTGAATCCTTATTAGAGAAAAAAATATTATCCAATTATGAGTTTAATTGAGTGAAAATAAATATTTAAGGGTTCAATTAGATAAAAATAAATGTTTAATGGTTCAACTTATTGAAAATAAAAGATTTAGAATTTAATTAATTGTAATAAAATATGCAAGATTTAAATGATTATTGAATTTTTATTTAAGGAATTTTTTACTATTTCACCTAAAAATTATTATTTGATTCATTTTATAATTTATATAATTAATTACATGTATCAGTTTTTTTGCTTAATAATTTTTTAAAATAAAATATTTATTTTAGACTTATTCAAATGTCGAGTTATCCGTTCAAACATAAAGTTTCATTCAAATTATGAGAAAATTTGGACAAAAAATTAAAAATCGTTAAACGGGTTTCAACACAATTTATATATATATATATATATGAATTGAATATAATTTCATTAAATTTAATTTAGTCATGTTTTAAAAAATTTTATTATATAAATTGAGTTTAATAAGTGAATTTAAAATTTATTTTTTTAATATGGGTCGAACTTGAACAAAATTTTAAGATTTAAAATTTTAAATCTAATTGAATCTAAATAAATATATAAATTATTAATACTAAGTATGAGCCCTACATATTAACACTTCTAATTTATTTTACTTCTAATTCTTGTTCATATTTCAAGCAACCTGTTCGCTACTTCTAATTACTTCGTCATGCTTATAGCTAATTTGGCAAATAGCTCTTTTTTTTCACAAATTTTCAGAGACCCTCATTGGCAAGGATAAAATTTTTATATTAAAGTTCAAATTTGATTTAATTAACCATATAAATTTATCTAGTTAACAGTCTTATTTTATTTTACTCTCAGAAAAGTTTAATCTTTATTAATAATAAAATTTTCTATATTACTATTGATTACATCAATATATTAATTAAATTGTTTATTTTAATCTTTTTAATTTTTGTCAAACTCTTATATATTGAAACACAATTAACTATTTTGAAATTTGAAAAATAAAATCAATTAGATACCACATGAAAATCAAAATTAATACATACTTTAAATAATAAAATATCATTTCGGCTCTATAATAATAAAATAGGGTTAGGATGCTACAATAATAAACATACATAAAGGACAAATATGAAATTGAAGAAAAGAAATTTTTTGTCCTAAATTGAAGAGAATATATATAATAATATCATTATTTTCCGATAATTGAATTGTCTGATTGTACAACAAAAAAATATATATATATATATATAGTTGAAAAGAGATGATCATCATTCGATCATTTAAGTAAAAAAAATATAGTTGAAAAGCAGTTCGGGGGAATTCTTGAAATCAGATTTTCACTTGTTAAAAATTTCTTTTCTTTCAATGATTTGGATTATACAACAAGAATAGTTTTGTCAATTTGATAGTCTCCTTATTTCCAATCAACAAGGGGACACGAAACCACATCTTGATTGTAATGTCCGTAATATTTAATATTCTCTTTGAATATAAAAAAATGGAGAAATCATTCCCCATTTTGGATTGTCAGACATATTCTGAGTGATGTTCTAACCCCACCATTCACTTTGGTCGTGAAACTAGCTCTCCCCACCTTCATATGCTTATGAAGTTAGCTCTCTCGACCTTCGCATGCTGGCCTTGTTCAATTGGCTGGTCAATATATATGTTCTTTTAGTATAGTTAAGAGGTTATTTCACATGCTTTACCCGGCACATCAAATATTAAATCCATGCAGTCAATGGTTGTTGCACTATGAATAGGTCTCTCTAGTTAATTTTAGATTCATTAATTTATGTTAATTGATGAGGGGAGTAACCAGAGTATGAGAGAAATGGAAAATAGAAATATCACTAAAATATATAGTAACAATTTTTCAACGGCGGAATTTTTCCGGAAAAAGTTCTATGTTAGAAATGGATTTTCAAAGGCAACTATAGATTTAGACTTTCGTAGTTTCTCACGAAATCGAATTTCGTCAATATTTTTATCGGAATTTACCGATAAAAACTGAATTCTCTTAGTTTTTTCATCGATAAATTTACATACCTTGTTATTACTTGGGGACGTATGAGTTTCCGACAAAATATTTGGTTGGAAATCAATTGGTAGTATCAGTTTTTGACAAAATTTTCAATAGAAATTTAATCGGTAATTTTTTTAGCTAAAAAAGGAAAAAAATATTCCAATATTAACAACACTATTTTTTTTTTATTTTACTTAAAAAATAAAATAAATAGTAAAAGCATCAATTAAAACGAAAGTAAATGGATAAGACTATGCAAACATGATATCTAAGAAAATTCCTTTTGATTTTATCTTTTGGTAGTCTATAAGAGCGAAGATTGTTTCTTTTTAAAAGGGAAATTTAATTTTGTAGCATCAAATATACAGAAGTACTTTTATTTCATTTCTATTATACATAACAGGGCACTGTCTAATTACAGAATAGCAATTCGATCAGTATGCAAAGGGCAGATTGACACAATTAGCCCGGTCTAGGCGAAAGACAATCTAAAGTTTGGAGTGATATACTTAATAGCATATCCAGGCCTTCCAATGGGCAAAGAAGTTTGGCATCCTATGATTCTCTTGTTGTGATATTTGAGAGGCCGAAAATTTAGATGAGAAGTTATAGTTTGAAATCCCTTCTTTGAGCCAGAGTCAGAGGAAAGAGGCATCAATGGCTTCGATGTTCCAACATCTAGAGGAATGTAGATTGCCTTTTGGATGTCTTGAAGCATCTCTGTGTTGGAATCATATCTGTTGCTGGAGTTAAAGAACATTTGAAATACTTTCATGCATGATAAGTGAAGACGCCTGGATGCTACAGGCAAATCACAGAAGCCATCCATTAGAGCATGTTTGAGCAATTCTTTCCTCTTTTTTTCGAGTAAGTCTCTCACAAAGGCAATTGAATCATCAATGTCTGCATCTGGGTTTTCTTTCATGTAAAGTAACACATAGTTCATTTTCCCATCTTCTATTTCCTTCTGTGATTGTAAATGCAAGTTATAACAATATATTATCTTTCATGAACAAAATAAATTAAGGAAACATTTTAAATTGTTCAATTACCTGGTAGCTTTGTATGTCATTCAATAAACGAGGTATAAGCATGACCAGTTTGGTTACTGTCTCGTATTCGGCTGCAGGGTTGATTTTGGAATTTGGTAAGCTTGATTTCAAGCGGCATGAAGCTGGAAGAACCAAGGTATGTGCAGCAATAGATGTCATGCCAGTTCCAAGGTATTCATCCATTGATGGCAAGTATCCACTTTTGCTCCATGTTGCTTCCACAAGCCATGAAGCAAACGTTTCACACCACTACACCAAATGTTCATACATATTACTTCACAGTTCATTTGAACCGACAAGAAAACAATTAGTTAATCGATTAGTTGATGTAATGCTTACTATTTTCTGTAGATAACTTGTTATATCGGTTCCATGCTGTTGAAGATGTTTTCCTGCCGTTTCTTTCACAAGATTATCAAGGCCATCAAAGATGGCCTTACTGTGACCACTTAATCCTGCAGCATCCCATCTGTCATATGCATTCAAAAGCAAAATTAAGTTGCTAATAAATCATTAAAGAGATTTGACTCGTTCCAAATTATCCCCAAAGATTCATCAGGACGTATTAGCTTTCGTTCTTGGTGATTACCGTCTAACTGCATCAGTAAGGATGTTCAGCTCATTCAGAGAAGCTTCCATGTCAAAAAAGTCATCTGCAACCGTAATTAATATAGCGCTTTTTGCTATCATCATTCGAATATCGGAGTCATAAGGCAGTGAAATGCTGGCAGAGACGGCAAAGTAGCAATACATAGTTTTCTCTCGACCAAATCCCATATCACTAAGACCCCATTTCAGGCACCAACTGTTTCACAGAAACAAGGTAGTATAAAATAGGCCCATTATTAACATAATCTTGAAGAATAATTCATTTTTCTATTTTTTTTCCCTTTTCATTATGCATTGAGTAACTATACCTTTTCAATTCAGCTATTTCATTCTTGTAAATTGACTGCCTAAACTCATAATCCGCCACAGCAAGTTGCACAAACTTTTCGTTTTTAAGGCTTGATAACCTGCTTCCAAAAAGTTTGATGGTTACTGTTAGTGAAAAGTGAATATCATACGTGTCAAATTGAATAGATATTTAGGTATATCCAAAGATTTTGAACTTTTAAGTCGAGCAGTTTTTAAAAATGCTGAGTCTCTCCATACCTATGAAAGGAGGTTTTTCCTGCCCACAAAGCATTCATATCTTTCTCTTCAATCCACGCCCTGTGTTCCAAGTGATCCAATCGAGCAACCCACGGAAGACTCAACTCGTGCTCGATCTAAGCCGCATTTAATGCATGAAAAATTAAGTAATTAATGCCACATCATTCAAAATTGGAAATAGGTGTTTGGATCAAGGGAAAATTAATTGAATACCATTCTTTGAAGGTTGAAGGATTTTGTGAAGTGATCATCATCTCCGGTTCCCTTGGGTACAGCTTTCTCTAGTATTCTCCTAGAAAATGATCTTGCCTCCTCAAGTTCATATTCTCCAGGAAACATAAGATCCGTGGCTCTATACACATTAAGCAATACGCTTGAGAAATATTCATGATTTTTTTCTATATGATCTAGAATTTCTTGATTATTCAAGAACCAACAAAAGCTCCCTGCAAGTGGAAAACCATATTTGGTTCAGAGTTTGAAAAATCATATATCTATGCCAATATTGCATGAAATTTGTTTAAAAGTAAAAACGTACAAGGCGATATGTCATAACCATGCATGCGAAGAAGTCGAAATGCCAAAGAGTCTTTGTGCAGTTGGGTTGCAACTGAAGCACTACGACTTGGTTTTTCAGATGATGCCTGGTTGTTGTAATTCCTGAAAATTATATCATTTGAAAACATTTTAATATATATATATATATATATATGCTTTCTTTTCAATTCTCTAAAATAAAAATAAATCAAGTACTACTACTAAATTAAAATTATTAACTTTGTGTCCATGTGCAGTCAATATTAAATTCAATTAACCAAATCAACAATTTCTAAAATTATAAAACTATCCTATAAAAATGAACCCTATGAACTTGGATAAGTAGGAAATATTTTCACCCGATGAACTTGTTTGTCAGGTTATAGAGACTAGGGATGATGCCGGTCGTGTGGTAGACTAGTATTTATATAATTTTGCACATTTAATTTATATAATAAAATATTTTAATTTATCAATTTAAATTATTAATTATTTTTAATAAAAAATTTAATAAGCTTCGTGTAAACATCAAACTCTTTTCTCTATTTGTTAATGAGGGAAGTTAATTAATCTCACCTCTCCTCTATTAATGTTGTTTCTAAACAAGTAAAGCAAAAAAGAACAGGAGTTTTTTCTTTTTTTTTTTTGTCATTTATCCACTAGTTGCATTTAAAATAGATGAAAAACTAATTGAGAATATATATTAAATTTTTTAAAATTTTTTGATCAAAATAAAATTTATATTTAATCATTTTAATTTAAAAATAAAAATATAAAATTTACTCTAATATAAGTAAATTCCTATTCTTAAAAAATAAAAAATAAAAAATAAAATAATAAAGTAATTTTTTTACTTCAAATAAGAAATTATCTTTTACCATTAATTACGTTCTCTTTTAATGTTCATTAAAAAAAAATTCTTAAATGGGATACGTTGCATAAATGTTTATATACGATCTATCAGATTCAATTGTTCTTTTGAAACTTTTATTCAAGGTTTAACATGATTTGGTTCATTCAAGTCTGAATAAGTTGACATTGTTAAAAAATATTTTTAAATTTATATTTTAATATTTTAAATTACATTTAAAATTAAAATTAAATAATTCAAAGTTTCAAACTTGAAAATTGATGCCCAACGCTTGGCGCGGGCCACCAAGCGGTGGACAAATCTACATAATACGTGCTAATTTAAGCTCATATCATTACCAGTAAGCTTGAGTCAAAATGTCTTCAATCTGCTGGCCGAATTGTTCAGCCAACCCCAGCCTTTGAATTTGATTGGCCAAACCAAGTTTTATTAGCTCTTCATCCATTGGATATGTCGATGGAACTACAACAAATTAAATAAAACTTTATTTCAGTATGTACGGATAACGTAAAGCCATAAACATGGAGCCAAAAAAAAAAAAAGAGGAGTTGATGACAGTCTTGCTTACTTACCTCCATTAGTACAGGTTCGAACTAGAGATTGTAGGTAAGCTAAACACTCCTTCTTCCCAGTGGCCATGAATGCACGTGCAGTTGCAGAAGGGGATTGGAATAGAGAGCCGTCATCACGTAAGTGCATGGTTATGTCTTCTTGATTAATGGCATAAAATGAAGGCAACGCTTCGACATATGATAATAAGGGACGATACGAACCAGCGGTAAGTTCCTCACTACAAAAAGTTGTCAATTAATTGATGAATTTGGCAATTAATACGTCTATCAATTTCATCATGTTTTAAACAGGGTAAAAATAAAATTACGTTTCAAGGATCTCTTGTCGTTCAAAGAATATGTCCATCAACAACCCTTTTGAACGGTTTGGAAAGTCGAGCTCTAGGCCAATTTTACGTGCAAATTCAATCATTCCAGGGAAAACAATGGCAAACCAACGAGGGAACTGGTTGGGATTTTCTCCTAGGAGCTTCTCGATGTTTGCTCGAATAAATGCCAACCCTGAATAAAAGTAGAATAATAAGGTAAACAAAATTGTGAATATTAGCCTTCCTCCAGTAATTCGAGGGGCACATTTTTTATAAGGGGGAAAGAACAATTATTCATCACTTTTCATGTAATTTGGTACCTCTCTGTGCATTTTCTATCCCAACATTCCACTTTTTGAGTGCAATTACACAAGCCAAAGTAGCAGGAAGAGACTCGATAGTGGGATTGCCATGGGCGTCACACTCTCCCCAATACCCTTCTTCTGTCTGGTTTTTGAGCACCCAATCTAAACAATCCTTGAACATGGGTACTACTGGACATGGCTGCAGGTTGGGAATCATGGCCAACCAGGCAGTGTCATAAGCTGAGGGTGAAACAAATGAGTAAGGATCGATGTCAGACAACATCTCTTCCGTTATCTCTTTAACTAAAGCTTGAATTGAAACATTTGAATGCTCCATATGGCACTAAGAAGAAATTAAAGTTTTAACCTAAATTTTCCCTAATGGCTGAATGTTGGATAACTGGTGAGAACTGCTAACTGGTTGAGACTTGGGACATCAATTTATAACGCGTTCCCTGCAGGATGATTTCTTGTCTCGCTACCAAGCGTGATTAATGTTTCAACGTGTTTTGCGTTGGGTCCAATGATGGACAGGTCTGTTTTCATGTTTGCAAAGGAAAAGATCAATTCACCCCTTACGCGAAATTTCTAACTGCATGCGACACGTCATTTTCTTAATTTAGATTGATGAAAAATATATTCAATAATAGCAAATTTCTTTCTACTTTCCTCTTCCATCAACATTCCAAATTAATTAAATCTTTGAAAAGTAAAACTAAAACCATGCATCAATGTTTGGCAAGATCTTAAATCTTCTTGTTTGGTATACGTTGATGGTATTTTTGGGTTGTTTTAGCTAGACGGAGGTGAGTAGAAGTTGAAGGGAAGACAGCTCGAACTTGCAATTAAAAAGCACAGTTAGGAATGTCGGAATTGTTACTCTGGGACATGCTTCTACGTTCAAATCAGTAAGATGCCTGAGGTAAGGTAAGGAAGGAAGGACATAAAAGTGGTGAAGCATGTGGAAGAAACTTTAATGGAGGAGAAGCTCAGAGTGTGTAGTAGGTTCTTTCTATATACTTAGTCTTTTAATTACCTTTCATACAAGATTATAGCAGTGACTTGATTGAGACAATTAATAATTGATAAAATATGTATATGGAGCTCGATAAAGGTTTACTTGAATAGATGTGAATTATATTTAATGATCTTAGGTGAACATGAATTGCATTGAATAATTTCAAATAAATTAGTCATCAAGTGATCAATTATGAAGTTACTCTCTTGACAGGTTGTCAATGGGACCCGGGGCTGGTTTTTTCTTAGCCGAAGGGGGAGTCATTTCTTTAAGCAAATGACGTTGCTGTCTAGAAGTGTCTTATTTGAACGACCCCAAAATATGACTCTATTCACCAAGCCTTGACCAAATTAACCATTAACAGTTAACTTGGGTGTAATAATATATAAGAGCTAGCGACTTAAAATATCGTTATCTTCTTGCAAAACCCTGACTAGCGTTTGTAGAGTATATGTTATTCGTACTTTTTTGGAATGATAAAATGCACGAGACTATAATATGCTATAATTCATGTATTATAACATATTTGTCAATTTTAAATCAATTATGATAGTGGGTTTTTATTTTTTATTTTTTACTTTTGTTTTATAACGATTTTCAAAATGTAAAAAAAGAGGCAAATAAACATGTAGCAATAAATCAATTAATGAGCTGAAGCCAAACTTGTATATCTGATAAAGTCCGTCAGCAATAAGCCACGTGGAAATAGGTAGAAGTAATTTTCACGAGATTTGCATATATATATATATATATATATGTAAATGATTAATATTACGAATGGTTCTTAAACTATAATAAAATATTTAATGTCGTTACTTGAATTTTAAAAATTTTTAATATAATACATAAATTATGAATATATTAATTAATTTAGTATTTAAAGGATTGTTTATTTATTATGTGTCATTCATTAAAATTAGCCACATTAGGGGTGAGTATTACATTAGCTAATTACAAATTCATATTTCAAGTATTACATTATAAAATTTTAAAGTTTAGATATTATATTGAATATTTTACTATAATTTAGAAGTCATTCATAACATCAACCTTTATATAAAAGAAGGAATTTAGTTACACCAATATAAAATTAATTAAATTTTATATTATTTTATAATATTTTAAATTATGATATTTTGTTTAATTCAATCAATAATTATTTCTTGTTTTGTTTATATAGATTATGCACGTCAAATATCAAGTTAATTAAAAATGTTTAACTATTTGTTTGATATAAATTTTTTTTAACTAAATATCATTTATCTCTATATATAAAAGTGTATATCTAAAAGTGTTAAAAATAATAGACTTAAATATCCTTATAAATTTTTAAATTAATAAATTTATTTATCCTTAAATGTATAACTTTCATTAATTTATTTAAGTTTAATTGTGAAAATAAAAAATGTATTTTACTTTTTTTTTGTGTTTTGCAAGTTTTCATATTTAAACATTTTTTAATGTCATTAATTAATAAATATATATTATATTTTTAATTAGATATCATTAATAATAATATCATTGAATATTTTATTTATTTTAAAAAATAATTTTTATTTTCATTTACTAAATACATTTTTAAAAATTAAAAAATAAAAATAATTTTTTAAAACATAAAAATATGAAACGTTTTCTCAGACAAAATATTCTTATTCTATCTATTTCATAAAGACAAAACACTGCACAACAAAAAATGCTAGGCCATTAAGATATTTTGGCCCACTTATTTTTATTTGAATCAGTACCCTACCATAAAGACAAAACAATGGCATTTGAGGGTAGTCAGTATTTTTTTTAAGTTATAATTTAAATATTATACTTACATAATTATTTAAGTAATCAATTATTATATCATAATTAAATTATAATAATTAAATAATTAATTAATAAATCAAAATATAATTAAACAATCAAACTTATATAAAGTGAAACTTGAATATTAAATTTTAAAATTTTAAAAAAACTTTTTTTTGTCACTTAATCAAAATTTCATCGATGGCCACTATTTCTTTATTTGTTCAAAGGTTAAATTATACGATCTTTGTACTTTAATATTTTTTAAAATTTAATTTTTTATTATAATTTATAAAAATAAAATTTTTATATTATTTTCATTTAATAATTTTGGTGAAATCATTAACTTTATTAAATTTTTGTCTCGGCAGCTGTCTGCTCGGAGATGTAACTGTTGACTTTGTTTACATAATATTTTGATTGTTTAATACAATAACCAGTGATAACGTAGATTAAATTACATGTCAGGTGATGTGACATTTTAATCCACATCAAATTTTAAATTTTAATTTAATTTTTTTAAAAAATATTAATAATAAAATTTTAATTTATTAAACATTAATAATTGAAAAAAGAATAAAATACTCTGAAAATTCATAAACCCAGAAAATTCATTCTCAACGGCCATACAACTCAAAATTCGGCAAGCAGCGGCTCCGTCGCCACCGTTAGCCGTTGTGACCATCATCGGGATATCGCAAAAATTTATCTGAAAGCTTCCTTTGATCTCATTTATAAATGTATAGGCTTGAATTTTTTAAAAAAAAACTCTATTTTTTCACGAAAATTTAAAAAAAAATCCGAATTCTAAAAACCTAAATCTACCACCTCTGATAGTCACTAAACTTTTGCCAAATCTTCCCCTCAACCTCCTCTAGATTTGAAAGTACTTCTCAAAACCTCTTGAACCCCGAAACCCAAAATTCTAACTTTCCTAATCTCTCACCAAAATTTCTCCAAGTTTGATAACTAACGCGTAGCAACTAAAAATAAACCCTAGCCACAATTTTTACTCAACCACAATGCACAGACCAAGAAAAAAGCACACAATACAGTTGAAAAGAAGACCAATTTCGCAGCAAAACACACAAAGAAATGTCTCCTCGAAACTGGCTCTAATGCCTCGAGTATGGCCCTTGTATGTGTGAATGCATCCCTTTTTTCTTATATCCCAAATCTTATATCAATATTTTTTATTATAACAAATTTAATTTAATAAATTAAATTTAAACAAATTTAAACAAATTGAGTTCAAACATTAAAAAAAAAAATCGATATAGCTCAAATTGAATACAACTGTCTATCAACTCTGTTGCACTCCTATATTACCTGTGCTACCTTAAATGTGAAAAGTTTTTGTCCTTGTCGTACTTTGTAGGCGGAAATTTATATGATTACACTTTGAAAACACTTTGTAGGTTATAAGTTTACACTTTGAAAACTTAACCATTTATGTGAAGACACGAGTTATTCGTTAAATTATATAACCTGTGCTAGCTTATACGTGAAAAGCATTATCCTTGTAGTACTTTGTAGGCGGAAATTTATATGATTACACTTTGGAAGCTTAACCGTTTATGTGAAGACATGAGTTATTCCTAAAATTATATATATTTATAAAATTACAAATATAAAAGAAGTTACAATGACTCTTCGGAACCCACCTGCTGAGTCACCAACGACCATGCCTATGCCCGCAGGCTCTTGTGTATGTCCAAAGCCCCAGCATAATTTATCTTAACCTCGTCATCATGTGGTGCCTGCCATTGGCTTTGTCGTTGAATTCTTTCAAATCTTAACTAATTATGTGAAGACATGTGTTATTCTTAAAATTATATATATTTATAAAATTATAAATACAAAAAATTATAATTATAATTAAGTATTACATTTATTTATAAAAAATCAGTGAATATATAATTAATAAATAAATTAAAAGATAATTAATGAAATTCAACATAGAGTTGAACTAAATCTATACATAATAATATTTGAATCTAAAATCTTAAAATTTTAGAATCTCTTTTTTGTTGATATTTTTTCTTTTTCAACCTTTTTTTTTTTATCTTTTGTTTTTATTTTGCATGTAACCATTAAAAATTGACAAGGTTTTTTTTTTAAAAGGAATTATTTGAACTTATTTTATCTTTTATTTTAAAAAATATCTTTTATTTCTATACAAATACATACTTACACATGATCCCAATTTCATTTTCTAAAATGTTTTTATGAATTTTTTTAGTAATATAAAGACATTAAAATTTGAATTATACAAATAAAAATAATTCTCTTCTATCTTATAAATCTAGCTTAAGTTTCATGCTTTAATTCTTGAATCGTCTCCTTAAAAACTTTTTTTCAACAAAGTAATTAGATTTTTTTTTTTATGTTATGAATCTATAAAAATAAAAAACTATTTTTATGTTATGATCTCATTTATAAAAAAAATCTAGGTGATGAGAGAAAAATTGTCAAACCATATCACAATCATCCCTAGGGAAACAAGGTGATTTTTGAACCTCCTAAAAAGGAAAGAAAGTAAAAAAAAAAAAGAAAGAAAATTCTTGTCAGACAAGTCTAAGCGGATTTTTGTTGTTTTCTTTAATCAGACTCCCGCAGCCAGCTGTGCTTTGGCTTTCAGGGCCCGCTTTGGCTGCTCGCTATTGTTGCGTCAGTTGTCATCATCAATATCCATGCAAGCAGTGGCCGACATTTTACGTATTGGTTTTTTATACTTCTGTTTAGTCCCTGAGAATTTGGATTTAGTCCACAATCAATGAATTCATTAAGACAAAAGGAATCATTGCAGTAGTCTTGCATGCATGAAACACATGCTTCCTAATACAAATTTGGTGTTGGTGCCTTTGAGCTAATTCCTCAGTTTTGGTTTTTTTTTTTTTATAATTTTTTATTTATCTATTATTTTTCAATATATAAATTATTAATGTCTAATAGAATTTATAGTTAATACGAGTTTTGCTGACAAAAGCACTGTAGAATTCGAGTAAGTATTGTTGATAATAACATTCTCATATTAATTAATTTAGCCTTAAATATAAAAAATCTTTGAATTAAAATTAAATAATCATTTAAACCATTATTATTTTATTACAGTCAATTGATAACTTAAACATTTTTTTCATTCAATTAAATCCTAAATATTTATTTTTCATTCAATTAAATTTTTAATTAAATGAAAATTTGTGACAATTATTAATCAAATTTTTTCTAATCAAGAGTTTAATTAGGTAAAAATAGATGTTCAAGAGCTTGATTAATCATTTAGTTTTAATTTAAAGGTTTTCTTTTAATTTTTAAGCCTTAAATTTAAAAATTAATATCATATACGTTGAATTTCAATCGGAAAAAAAATTACTTGATATATGATAATATTAAAAAGCTCTTTTAAGGCATTATTAGAAAAAATAAATTAATTTTTTGGTGCAGATATTATTTGTCAAATAATAAAACAAAGAAAAACGATACCCTCCGATCCCCTCCTTAAATCAACCATTCAAGCCCTTACGCGGCTCCATTGCTATCCCTCAAGTGGCCCATATGCAAAACTGATGGGCGCCCGTTATTAAAAAGTTTGATTAGATTTGGGCTTAGGGCCGCAATGATTTTCACTATATTTGTTGCAAATCTTAAGAAAACAAAAATCACCTGAAACATCAAAGGAGCCATCACTTTTATTTAGTAATACATAAATATGCAGTTTGATGGACCTGATTCTCCTACGCAACATATACAACATTTCAGAGTTTCAGTTCCTCTTATCCATGAATGCTGGAGAGGCTAACAATTTATGAAATATACTAAAAGAAAGAAACATTAAAATTTTGGTAGCACAAACATATTAATTTAACATGCCCAACATAGTAGGCAAAACTATGGAGTAACTAGCTCGATCTGTGATCTTTTATATTTGGGAGGTCGACCAGAGTGGGAGTTGATTGTTTGGTGATATTCCTGCTGATCAGGCATCAATGGCTTTGAGGTTAATCCAACATTTATAGGGATGTAGATTGCTTTTTGGATGTCCTGAAGCATATCTGTGTTGGAATCATATCTATTGCTTGAGTGGAAGAACATCTGAAAAACTTTCACGCATGACAAATGGAGAAGCTTGCATGGTTTGGGCAATTCTCCAAATCCATCCATCAGAACATGTTGGAGCAACTCTCCCCATTTCTTGTCGAGTATTTCTCGCACATAGGCAGTTGAATCTTTAATGTCTGCTCCTGGATTTTCTTTCAGATAGAGTAATGCATAGTTCATTTTCCCCTCTTCTTTTTCCTTCTGTCAATATTACACGATAAATTATTAGTTATCTTCCTCAAATATAAGTGAAGAAAGAAATGAATCTAGCCTCTACAAATTGTTCAGTAACTGTCACCTGATAGCTCTGTATGTCATTCAATAATCGAGGTATAACCATCAGCAATTTGGTAACAGTCTCGTATTCCCCTGGCCTGATTTTGCAATCTGTTAAGCTTGGATTCAATAGATATGACGCTGGAAGAACTATGGTATGTGCAGCAATGGATATCATTCCAGTTCCAAGGTATTCATCCATTGATGGTAGAAATCCACCCCTGCTCCACTTTGCCTCCACAAGCCATGAAACGAACGTTTCATACCACTTCATAATAATAAAAAAAAAATACAATCAATCAATTTTCAGTTTTAGTTATCCAGGAAACAGGAAATTAATACACTTCTTATTTGATGTTAAACTTACTATCTGCCGCAGAAAATTTGTTATATCAGTACCCCGCTGTTGTGAAACTTTTGCCACAATTTCTCTAACGAGATCATCAAGGGCATCAAAGATAGTCTTACTGTGACCACCCAATCCATTAGAATCCCATCTATCATACGCATTTCAATTGCATCAGTGCACTGAAAAAGGATCGAAAATCGACCCATTAACGTTAAATTTAATTAGTTCTCTGCGATTACCTTCCAATTGCATCAGTGAGAGTATTCAACTCATCTAAGGAAGCTACCGTATCATAAAAATCATCAGCAACTGTTATCACAACAGCACTTTTCGCAATTATCATCCGTATATCAGAGTCATAAGGTAGTGGAATGCTGGAGGCAATGGCAAAGTAACAATATGTAGTTTTCTCTCGACCAAATCCCATGTCGCTCATACCCCTGATCCTGGACCACCTACATATACATACATACATATATATATTTATTTATTTATTTATTCCATGGAAATTGAATAAGTCCTACTTAATATATAATTAATTATACATTGAGTTATTTGGCTAGTGAATTATTCTGTAAAATTAGGATTAAATACTAAAGAAAAACAAAACACCTTTTCACTTCCGCCAATTCATTCTTGTATATTGACTGACGAAACTCGTAATCCGCCAGAGCAAGTTGCATTAGCTTCTCATTTAATAGGGGTGACAACCTGCTTCCAAAAGGTTTGATGGTTAATTGACCTTCAATATAATATAATTTTAAGATGTTATACATTTAAATCAAGTGGTTTCACTTTAAAATTAATGTCAATTTATGTTGACTATAATAATTAATATAGTCAGCCAATAATAATATGTCTTGTTGATAAAGTGTTTAATTCTTTATTTCAATGATTAAGATTCAATCATCGTAACATCAATTATCAAAAAAAGTAATACAGATTGATATAATACCTGTGGAAGGAGGCCTTGGCTATCCACAAAATGTTGGTGTTATTATCTTCAATCCATGCTCGATGTTCCAAATGATCCAGTCGAGCGATCCATGGAAATCTTAGTTCATGCTTCATCTATGAGACATTTTACAGACAAGGAAATTAATTTTAAGTACATCGATACCACTATTATAGTTTTTAATAATAGGAAGAAAAAATATCCTGTTTTTTCGTGCAGAAATAAATTACTTCCAAAAATTGCTTAAAACGGTTGGACGTTTTCTTTCACTCCTAATTTTTTTGCCATTTTGAACTAACTTATACGACCGAATGCATATTTTCCATCCTATTTTCAAAGCTAAGCATTAGGACACTTTTTAAGATTAGTACATTGTTGGGTCAAAGGGTTCGGTAGTGCTTTTAATCTCATAGTATACTATTTCCTTAATCTGTATCTTTTGAAAAAAAAATCTTTATAATATTAATTCTAATTAAGGATACGTTTTTTCACGTGATAGATATAAATTTTAATATTCATTTAATTTTCATTTAACTGTGAAAAAAAAAGAGCAAAACTAACAAATGCAGGCAGATCCCTATAAACGCATAGAAGAATGATGTCAATTACTATGATCTGAGACATAGTCAATTACCATTTGGTTAAGCCCCATAGATCTAAAGCTAGTAGCCTTCAATGTAACTTTCTCCAACACTTTCCTAGAAAATGATCTCGCCTCCTCAAGTTCATATTCTCCTGGAAACGTAAGATCTGTAGCTCTATAAACATTGAGCATCGTGCTTGACAAGTATTCATAATTTTCTTCAATATGAGCTCGAACTTCTTGATTATTCAAGAACCAACAGAAATGACCTGCAAATATATGCAAAACATAGATAATCATATTCCAATAATGGTTGCACGAAATTAAAAGAAAAGCGAAGGTTTCTTTTGATTGAATCATACAAGGCGATACGCTATAACCATGCATGCGGAGGAGTCGAAATGCTAAAGAGTCTTTGTGCAGCTGGATTGCGACATTTGCATTATTGCTTGGTTTTGCCATCGACTCTCGGCTTTTGTAGTTCCTAAAAATTAAATTTTAACTATAAATTGACATCAAAGGTTGCTATTGTAATTAAGCATAGGAAAAAAGAGAGAAAATTTCGGTTTTATAGGATGAATGCTACATATATGTATTTTCTTAATTACCGGTAAAGCTGGGCCAAATTGTCATCAATCTCATGTGAAAAATGGGCAGCTAAACCCAATCTTTGGAGTTGATTGACCACAGAAAGCTTTATTAGCTCTTCATCCATGGGATAAGTTGGTGGAACTGCATCAAAACTCAATTTTTAGTTAAAGCAAAATTGAAATGTAAACTCAACTAGGAATATGCAAGACAACAGGAAGCAATTAGCTGACCTCCATTAGCACATCTTCCTACAACCGATTGCAGATAGGATAGAGACTCTTCCCTTCCACTAGCCATGAAAGCACGTGCAGTGGCCGCAGGGGATTGGAACAATGACCCATCACCATTCAAATTCTTGGTTATGTCTTCTTCACTAATACCATATGATGAAGGCAGGGCTTCAAGATACGATAACAATGGAGGATATTGATTGTCAACAAGTTCCTCCCTGGAGAAAAAGTTTCACATCAATAACGAATTAATAAGTATTTTCTTTCAGGTAATTTGAATATCAAGTTTTAAACTATACTACAAGGATTGAAGGTTAAATTTGAGAGCAATTACGTTTCAAGGATCCTTTGCCGTTTGTGGAATAAGTCTAACAACAGTCCATTTAGTTGGGAAGGGAAGGCAAGTTGGAGCCCAACTGTACGTGCAAGTTCAATCATTCCAGGCAAAACAATGGTAAACCAACGAGGAAAGTGATCGTAAGTTACTCCAAGGAGCTCCTCGGCGTTTCCATGCACAAAGTCCAATCCTGAAATTTATCAAAATTATGAATAAAAATCAAATAAAATTTTTAATTTTTGTTTTTAACAGATGAAATTATGATTTCAGTGCATTTCCAACCAAAAAAAATGTAATTATCAATGAATTTTTTTCCTATGTTGATAATTAACATGAAACTCATTGACTAATCTAAATCACGAGAGCTTTGAAAGAGTATTTAGCAGGAAACTTTTAACAAGTGGTCTGCCCATTGGTCTATATCTTGTCGTAGAGGAGGTAAAATGGATGGGCTGCCTGTGGCACGACACAGCTCAACCCGTTATGCTGTGCCAACACGATCCATTTTATTACAATAATCTTGCTGAGCCGAACTTGACCCTATTAGTCGTGCAGTACAGTATTTCAAGTCTCGTGGGTTGGCATGGCACAAGCCCATGATTGGTCAAGAATTGGCCCACAACATAAGCCCAGCATGGTACGACCTATATTTTATTGACAAAAATTTACTATCAATTAATTCTTTTAAAAAATTTATCTATTTTTTTGACGGAACGTTCTATTTTGTTATGGCAAAATAGAAGTATCTATTCACATTTAAAAGTATCGATTTGTTTTTTTTTTTTTTTAACTCATAAAAATCAATCAATTGGATATCAAATATCATTCAAAAAAATAAGTTGTATCATTAAAAAAAAATTATATCATCGAAAGAAAAACTTGTAAAGTTTATTATTTTTTAGTTAATTAATCTTTGTAAAATTTATTTATTCATAGTAAAAAAACTTTCCTTTTTCCCATAGACTTAATATCTCTAATTTTTTCGTAATATATTACTAAAATAATATATATATATATAAACTCACAATTTCTTTAAAAATTAATGTAAAAAAATTTTAAAAAAAATTTATTTGATGGCCCATAAACTAACACGACACAACCTATATCATCATCGGATTATGGACTATGTTGGACTGATTTGTATTTTTTTGTGTTGGACCCCGACTCATTATAATACTATGCCAAACATATAATCATGTTTTGTTGACTCATTTGACTCATTTTGTCACCTCTATCTTATCTAATATAAGCCCGACCTAATCCAATCAACCTTCATTATGTAAGCATATTAAAATGCTTGGTACGATATAAGTAAAAAACGGCATGCATGTTAGTATCGGCATGTAGGAGCAATCGACTGCAATTGTGTGGTTAATAGTGTGGAAAACATGTTCTCTCTCTCCCTTTTTTTTTTTTTTTTTTGGGCGCGCGGAAAACATGTTCCCTTGAAATCCTTGTTCTAAAACCGCGCTTTCTCGTCATAAAGTTTTTTGATTGTTTAAGATTATATGACATCTTACATCTAACAGATAAAACCTAAGCCAACAGTAACTTATCATTGTCAAATGTAAAAATGTTCGGTGGGAAATGTAACCATATAATCTAAGGATAACTAGCTATAGATAGAGACGGAATTATAAGCTTGGGATGTATTTGGTATACAAAACTATGATATGATAGGATAAGGTGATGTTATAAATAATATTAGATTAAATAATATTATTTTATTTTATATTGGATATGCATAAGGATTAAAATAAAATAATTTATTTATTGATCAAAATTATTTTTTCTCAAAATTATAAAATTTAAATTATTGATGTAATTTCAAAGCTTATAATAAAACATATAAATTAAATCTCATAGATTAAAAATAATTTTTTTCACTTTAAAAAAATTGAATCATCTTATACCAAAATAATGATTAATTTTTTTTTATAATCTTATCTCTTTTTTTAGATACAAACTAAATATAATATAACATAATTATCATCATATCATATCCATTATCTTATAAATCAAACATGACCTTTAATATAAGAAAACATGGATGAGATATAATATGAAAATTAAATAATGAATTTAATTAATGTAGATGTATTTGAGAGAGTACCTAGCTTTATATTTCTATTTCCAACATTCCACTTCTTGAGTGCAATTACACAAGCCAAAGTAGCAGGTAGAGACTCGATGGTGGGATTGCCATGGGCGTCTCGCTCTCCCCAATACCCTTCTTCTGTCTGGTTATTCACCACCCAATCTAAGCAATTCTTGAACATGGGTACTGAACATGTCTGGTTGGAATATTCTGCAGGAACCATGGCTAACCAGGCAGTGTCATAAGCTGAGGGTGAAACAAATGAGTAGGGATCAACGTTCAACAACATCTCTTCCTTTATCTCTTTTACTAGAGCTTTAATTGAAATAAGCAAGAGTTCCATTGCTTAAAACAAAAACAAGAACAAGAGCAACGAAACAATTTTCCTTTTTCCTCTCTTCCCTGTGAGTTTGATATATAATTCGTGAATATATGAGATCTATTTATAGAAGTTCCTTGAACAAATTTCTAATTAATTCGAGCCCAAATATGAAATTTGCATGCCCGATACGTCTGTGCTGACTTCGAGGCGGAGCTGTCAAGCCATGAATGCCAATTCGTGACGATCACTATCATAATGTGAATCAAAGAAAAAAAAATTGACCAAATAGAAAGATTTGCGTAGATTTTACTATTTTAGTATATAAATTTTATACATTATTAATAAATCAAATACTTTTATCTTATTAATAAAATGAATAAAATTACATCACCTCATTAATGAATAATTTTTTAAAATTAAATTTTTATATATTTATTTTAACGGTTAAAATGCAATTCATTGCTTAAAATATTAATGCAATTAATACAACCTCATCAAAGTTATTAATACGACTTCATCAAAATTATTAGTGATCAAATCATATATAATTTAACTAGTTACTTATACAAACTTTGCACATGAACCTGACATCTAGTATTTCAAATTTAAAAAATAATAAAGGTGTGGAGTATTTATATTTTGATTAAAAATAACAAATTTATTCAATTGTAAGTCTGTTATGCAATGATTTTTTATTTAATAGATTAAGTTGGATAACTTAAAGAATAAAGGGATCTTTTTCTTCACAAAAGATTTTATAGACGTAACCTTTTTTAGTCATCAAGACCATTGTAGGGCCAGCACGTATTCAGTTAGGTCCAGTCTCTGTTGAGAACGATGATCTGAAATCTAATGTTTAACTGCATATATAACTTCCGTAAAGGTGCTAATGAGCAGTCCTAACTATGTGATAAACCACAATTTTAATTTTTTGGAATTAAGATATACTATGGGCAATTAGCTAGCTCGATCTATTAAATCCCCCTTATCAAGATTCAAGAGAGAGTTGACCTTGTATTAATAAAGGATATTATATATATATATATATATATGTATATATATTGTACTTCAGTGAGCACTCCCTCTTAAATGAAGAGTATAAAATATCCATGGGAGACTGAAATTTTATACAATATGAAAATAATTCAATTTAAAATTTTAATAAAAAATATAGGATAAAATATACAAATAGTTATACAATTGTAGGGATCTTTTTAAAATGATAACTTATATATTAACTTTTTAAATTTAATCATTTAAATTTAAATAAATAATTTTTTAGTCACTCGACCATTAATGACTAATAGTGTGCAGGGCCACATCAATTATTAGGTGTTACGTGGCATTGTCACAACATTTGACAAGTCACGTAACATTATTAATGTGATATTATAAATTTTTAAATAAATAAATAAATTTTAATTACTTAATTTTAAAAAAAATTTTATATTGATTATTTACAATTTGGTTACTAACAAATAAATTTTTAATTTTTATAAAAAAAATAGAAATAAGCATTGACATTTTATTGTATGAAATTAAATTATAAAATTTTAATTTTATTGTAATCATATTATTTAAATTTGAAAAACAGATGAATATTATCTAATTGTCAAAATTATTAAAATAATATTACTTCAAAATTTTGTGATTCAGTCAATCTAAATAAATTCAAATAAGTATTTCATATATCATAATGTCAAGATTCTAATTACAATAAAAATTCATAATTTTAATTTTATGCAATAAAAATTTTAAAAAAATATAGATAACGTAAATTTATTTTACTCTCTTCATCCCAAATTATTTGGATGTTATTGACTTTTACGGAGTTTAAGAAAAAAAAAAACTTTGAACTTAATGTATTTAATATTAAATTTTAATTTAAAAAAAAAAAACTAAAGTTTCATAATTTTTAATGTCAAAAAGTAAAAAAATATTAAAAAATTTTTAAAAAATAAAAAGTAAGAGTTTTAGATGTTCAAAAAAGAAAAAAAGAATGGAAAAAGAAAAATGGGATAGAGGTAGTAATTAAAACCTTGACATTATGAAATATGAAATTTATTAATATTTTGATTTTCATTGTTAATGGCTCATTGTCACTGTAAATTTATAACACTAATAGAAAACAAGGCATCGCCGATAAAAAATTTTGTTGATATAAGCTTAAGTTTCATTGGTAAAACTTTTATCAACGGAATTTACCGATGAAAATTTTCATCAATGGTAAGTGAGTAAGTAATAGTATCCCATCAATAATTACCAACCTATAATTCCATTGATAATATAATTATTCCGTCGATAAATATTTCATTGGTAATTATGTCACCACTCCGTCGGTAATATTTCATCAATAATTATGATAGCAATCCATCAGTAATCCATTACTAATTTGACAATAATTGGTTAATAATTTGTCAGTCAAAATTAATTTTCATCATAATCAATTGGTAGTCCATTGATAATTGCTAATTTTTGTTGGTAAAAGCGAGAATTACGTAAATGAAATCCATTGGCAAAATCTAAATTTCATAGATAATTTGATTAATTCCATCGATAATTATTGAAGAAATCTTTAAATTTTAAATAAAACATGTGTGGTTTTTTTAAAAGTCTATTATTTATCTATTATTCATTAAAAGCATAAAAATCAAATCCTCATTATAAATTCTAAAACAATTCAAATTATAAAGTTGAAATCTATAAAATATAGTAGTGTAAAACAACTCAAGTCATCATAATATAAGTCTTGAAAAACATATAATTGTGCTGTATCTCTTGATCTAGAATCTGCATTGTTGTCGTCAAGTCTAAAAGGTACCTCTGATTATGTTGGAGAAAATTGTCTAAACCCTATTAATTTCATCATTTGATCTACGAAAGATCTAAGCTCAGTCCTTAGCTAAGTCTTTAACTCATCAATTTGTTATTGTATCTGAGGTTGATGAGGCACATATGACAAATCACAAACTAAATGGGATGTCACTGTTGTAGCATTGGACTGACTAAAGTAAAGTAGCTTCTTATATCTATTTGTAAGTCCAAAGCCATATCTATGAGTACATAGAGCTTCAACCTCTTTGATTGCTTCAGTCAATGCTTGTGGATTAAAATCTAGATGATTGAAAGTGTTTTCATCATATTTTTGAAATAATAAAGCAATATAGTTCTCTTACAAAAATTTTAAAATAATTATTATTCCATCTTACCTATATAGTTTAATAAAGTAAGACAACTTCAAACAATTTACAAAGTCAAGATTTATTGAAAAAAGAAATAATAATCTAGACAAGTCATGATTGAATACGTAATAGTTTTTACATTTCACAGAATCATTGTATCTCAATACGCACAAAATATTATCTAATTCAATATTGAATTTCTTATAAATTTTAAGTTCTAAATTACTATAAAAGTAGTTCATCAACAAGCACAAGAATCATAAAGCAAAACATGCAATAGTTTTCACTTTTCACAAAGTCATAACATCTTAATACACACAATACACTATCTAGTTCAATAAAAAATTTTCAACAAATTTTTTGTTTTGAATTACTATAAAAAGTAGTTCATAAATGAGCACAATACACAATACACAATAAGAATCATAATGTAAAATATGAAATAGTTTTCACCTTTTACAAAGTCATTGCATCTCAAAACACACAAGACATTATCTAGTTTAATAAAGCAAGGCAATTTGAAAGCATTCACAAAGTCATTGTAAAGTTACATACATTGATAACATTGGACTTGTAAATCACCACATCTTTTTAAACGTCTTAGTGTAATTGAAAATTTCTTTAAATGTGAGTTCTAGTTGCATCTCAAATAATTGTATTTGTTTAGACACACAAGACATTAGTAAATATTGTACCAACAGATTACTGATGGAATATTATGTTGACGTTCTCACACCAACTTTTTTCAATCTCGCTCAATTTTTACCTAAAAAATACAAATGAAAATTGTCTCCATCGATAAATTCCATCGGTATTCCGTCAATGAATATCACATTATTTTATAATTATGGTTCATTAGTAATCCATCGATAAATCTTGAGTAATTATCGACAGGAGTATTTCATCCGTAAAATTTTGTTGGTAATACCTTAATTTCTGGTAGTGTAATGAGTTGATCATCAACGTTTATAAAATTTATTATAATAAATTATCTTATTATTTATGTTACATACTTAAATATATTGAAATAATACTCAAATAAATCATTGGAGTTTATAAAAAAAATAAACATTCAATATTTTTATTGTATGAAATTAAACTATAAACTTTTATTTTATTAATTATAATTATATCATTTAAATTTTAAAAATAAAAAAAATATTAATCAATTATCAAATTTATTAAATATATAATTATTTTAGATATTTATCATTCAGTTAATCCAAATAAATTCAAGTAATTATTTAAAATTTTTACATTTTGATCACCCATGTTTGTAAAAATATTAATATTTGGATGTCACTCTTAACGAAACTTTATAATGATTTAATCACCAATGATTTGTGAAATTTAATATAATAAATTATTTTATTTTATTTTGTTATTTATATTTATTTTAATATTTTATTACATGACATTAAAACTAAATCTTGATATTATAAAATATGAAATACTTAGTTTAGTTTATTTGAATAAGTTGAATGACAAAGATTTGAAGTAACATTATTTTAGTAATTTTTTCAAGTGGATAATATTTTTTCATTTTTCAAATTTAAATTATATAATTATAACAAAATAAAAAATTTATAATTTATTGCTCTACAATAAAAATATTAAATACTCATTTTTAATTTTTTATAAAATTTGAGAAATTATTTGTTGTGATCAAATTATAAATTTTTAAAATTAAGTGAAATTTTTTAAAAAGTTAAGTGACTGAAATTTATTTATTTTTATAATATCAAATCAACAATGTTACCTCAATTGTGACGTGACAATGTAGCGTGACACCTGATAATTAACGTGATATTATCACATCAAATGTTAGTTATTAATAGTTAAATAACAAAAAATATTTATTTAAATTTAAGTGATTAAATTAAAAAAATTAATATTTAAGTGATCATTTTAAAAAGATTTTTAAATTGAGTGACTATTTATATATTTTACCCAAAAACATATACAAGTTTAGTAAAAATTAAAAAACATATTTTGTATTTGATTTGCCAACATAAATTATAAGATAATAATTTTTGTATTTTACATATATTTAACATAAAATATACAAACACAAATATAAAAATTATCAAATTTAAATATGAGAGTCAGTTTCTCTCTACCTCAAAAGCATGCATGATGTGATTGAGCATTCGGCACTTAATCACATACTAATAGCAACCGTCGAGTGATCAAATTGTCAACCGCTTGAATTTCTAGCTTCTAGCTGCTTGAACGTGGTCCACGTGAGGTTCAGCCTTTTTGTGGTTTGAATTGAACTGGTTTTCTATCTAAAAGCTTAACCGGGTTAGGCGTTGGTGGCGCCAAGACAAATGACCCTCGAAAGCATTGGCTCAAATTGCCCTAATTGGAGGGTAGGTTTGAAACCGAAAGCCGGAATTTAAAATCATGCAATTATTCTTAAAATATAACATTCAACATGTATAAAATTCAAATTTTAATATTTATAGTTTTTTATATTTTAATATTAACTTTAAACCACATAAATTGTCCATCTTGGTTATTAATTCCGTGCTATATGAACCCATGCACGAATTTGCGGCTGATGGAAACAACTACTGACATTTGGTCTTCGTCAATTTGTACATAACAGAAGGCAGCGTTAATGGTGCATTGTTAACTTATTTGAAAAATTCCCTTGACTTTAATGCATGAAACACATGTTGCGTCTCTCTCAAATTTCTATAATGTGGTTGTCTTCATCTAAATGCATTAAAACGTTTTATCTAACACACATTTTTCCAGGCTATATATATATATATATATATATATTTATCGGATTCCAGGTTATATATTTAACTTCCATTGTTAAGTTTGGTCTTTATTAATTGTTTGAAATTTTAATTAAAAAAAAAAAAAAAAAAAACAGAAATGTTAGGTCACTTCGAACAATATTGTTTTGGAAGATGTAGAAAGGGTGACGGCCAACCTGATGAGGTTGGTTGTTGGAAGGGGTCAATGTACGTATTATTTGTTGAAAAATTACATAAGCATGAAAATGACATTACTGTTTCGTAATATTCGAATTTTCAATTTGAATGGCAGAACTCAATTATTGATAATTTTAAATAAAAAACCAAAAACTAATTTTCAAATATTTACATATTTGTCAACGAAACGCATGAAAACGTGTTTGTTTGGTCCACTCATGACTGGACTGTATTAAAGGACAATGACAAATATTGTATTTCCAAGCCCTAGCGTGAGACATGCGAATGGCAGTCCCTCTCTTCTCTCTCCTAATCAAACAAAAACAAAGATAACATATTTACAATTTCTACCGGGTTATTTTTAAGTAGAAAAAAAAAAAAAGATAGTAAAAAATTATCATGTGTCCTCTTAAACAAATTTAAATTTTTCTTGAATTTATAAAATTCATTATTGTTATTAGATTGTGAATCTATTTACCTTGACATGTGGAACAATTTTATTAAAATGTTGTATCATATGATATCCTAATTCTTTTGGTTTAATTTCTAAGTTAATGTAATATTAATTGTTTATTTGCCAATTTCTTATATTATTACATATTCCTAGATTTTTAATTTTTTTTATATGTAAGAGTAAGATTGCATGTATATTTTTCTTTCTCATCAAAATAACAAAAGAAAATCAAATCAAAAACCAATATTATATCAATGGATATAATAGGGCCTTGGCCCAGTCAATCTTGTAAACCGCTAAGCCCCTTTAAAAACCTTCCAATCCATATCCAATAGAGACTAAGACCATTTTGTGGACTATCGACGATTCAGAATCTACTCGCCGCTCTCTCAATTGGCCGACAATAAAAAATTCCAAGCCTAACGAGGTTTTGGGCTCATTCAAAGTTTATGACCCGAAAAGGAACCAAAACAATGTCTTTTAGAATGAAAAACTATTTTTTATAAAGCAAGAGGAGTTGCATGTGTTTGGATTTATAAAAGAAATTGTAGCCAACTGTAGAATTAAGTATTTTTTTTTTTGTATAATCATAAAAAAATAAAAGGATTTATTTGTACTAATTTGTGGTTTAAACAAAAAAAAAATATTGTTATTTAATGGAGTATATAAATGAGTACTATTAATAGTGAAATTAATGGTATTAATTTATTTAATTATTACAAAAACAAATACTCCTAAAGATAAGCTGAGAGAGGATTCTAGTTGAATAAAGAAATGTTCTTCCACAAGATAAGATGAGATGAGGATCCCAAATTCACCATGATTAATATTTCCATTTCTCTCAACTAAATTACATGCATATATGTATACTTGAAAAGTCCCTCTGTTATCTTTGCCAACAAAGAAAAGTGATTAGTGGACTTAGAATTAATTTGGAATTAAGCAATGAGGTAAGATTTCCCCCCTCCCCCAATACTCAACAAGTTAAAAACCATTTTGTGGAGGTATATATAGTTAGTTTCTTGCTGTCATGATTCATATTGACCTAATTAATTGGATAGATATGCTTTAATTTCTTATGTCTAATCAATTCAATGAAAATTGCATCCTAATCCCTATCATATCCTTAATTATAATTATCCAAAGGATTAAAACTCGAGAAATTTTCAATGACAGACATGAAAGTCCATGATTATTTATTATAAGTAAAGCTTTTTTTAAAATAATAATTTAATTATTCTTAACCTGTATTTAATTATTTATAAAACCCAAACATAGAACCTATAGAGTTATTTTCATTCTTAAAAGCAATGATCAAAGGACATGATCGACATTGTTTGAACCAATAAAAATGGCAAGACAATTAGGCAAAGTGCTTTTATGAGGAGCCAATACGAGAGCGAAACATTAGAGCCATGAGACAACATTCCATAAAGTAAAAGCACATGTTGGCCACGTTGACATTTTTGAAACCCAACAAGATTTTATCTTCTCTTTTTTATGTTGCATAATCAACAGCCTTGATTATGACCTTGGGCTTGGAATAATCATACGTCATTTGTGGAAATTATGGCCCCTAACAGTTTCTTTCGTATCTATCACATTATATTCTCTGGTTTGGCTTGGCATTCCCCATTTTATATTTGTAGTTTTTACTTTTTAATTTGCTAAACATTATAGCAAATTAATCTTATATATATATATATATATATATACTTTAATCAATTGTTTTATGCCTATATATATTATACATAATTCCAATATTCACCTGAAAATTTAATTTCATTACCAATCATGCATGCAATGATCATTTCGTGGTTATTAGTACTTCCTTTTTGCTTTAAAAATGTATTTGAATATAAAGCAAACAATTAAATTAAAAGTTGAATGAATAACAAAATAATAGACGATTATACATTTAATTATACAAAAAAAAGGTTATGATTGAATTTTTATTTCAATATTGATAATAACCTATATATACTTATTATTAATCAAATAGATTTTACTGGAATTCTAATATATATTAATTTATAATAAATTTGCACACAATATCTTTATTATTTTGCCAAAAAAATTATTATTATTATTATTACTCAGGAATGAAGAAAAAGTACTAAAGAACAAAAAGGAAAGGACATGAATAAAAACATGAAATACTATTTAGATCACCTTGCTTGAGGGGAATTATTTCACAGATTATAAAAAAGATGTATTAATTAGTTTTACTTACACCCATCAAGACCTTACAATCCAAACTAAGAGTTCCAATTCATGCTAGGAAGTATAAACTGTTGCCGAGAAACCATCACTTCGCCAAGAGATCCAACGAGCGTGCCAGGGTAAAATGGAGCGTTCTGAGGTAACTGACTGAGCAAAGAAACAAAGGAGTTGGTTTCATCAATGTCAGCCGTAGTACTACTATTTAGATCACCCTGGAACCTTTTGCCGGATTGTGAACCTATTGGATTTGGTTCATTCCAGTACTGTGGAGCTGGAAGTGAACGTTTAACAGGGATTGAATTTGTTGTTGTAGCAGATAAGGCCATGGAAAGAATATTTTGCTTTGAGCTTGAAGACACTGCTATTTGTGAAATGGAACTGTTTTGCATGCCTTGTCCTGTTAATACCCCTTCAAAGAAATTCTCTTCATGTTCTAGCAATGAACCATAACTTGTAGCTTTCGAGGTAGGATTATGATGGCTAGAAGTTGGCAGTGTTGCTACCATTCCCTCCAAGGAATAGTCTTTGTCCCTTTCCATTGGCCTTTGGGTATTGTTCTTCTTGTAAATCCGGCATAAAACCCAATCATCAAGCTGAAACCAGCAACCAAAACACAAATCAAAAAGAGAAGGAGAAAACAGAAAACTCAGTAAAATGATCTAGATCTTAAATTTATGGGACTTTAACAGATTATCCACGTACCCGTAAAGAAGCTTTCCTGTTCGGTACATCAGCAATTTGTGGCTTAGAAGCAGAATTATTGTCGATAAGGCGATATTCATGCATGATCCAATTTGTTTTAATCCCTTTTGGAGGCTTACCTCCATAGAATACTAAAGCTTTTTTGACACCAACCTTTTGATTTCCATTAGATGTTACAATCGGCTTATCAGTCCCAGTAGCTTTCCAATAACCAGAAGTTGCAGCTCTATTAGGCCTTGCTCCATTCGGATATTTCCTGTCTCTAGGACTAAAAAAATACCACTCTTGCTCTCCAAAAGTTGCCTTACCTACAAAATTTACACAATTTTAAAGACTTGTACATCAAGTAATTGCGTAAATATGAGTTGATCAATGAAAGCAGAAAATTTTAATGTATACTTGGCAGCTCCCATGGATCAAACTTGTAAAGATCAACTTCTGCTATGATTGTTACAGGTAGAGGAGCTGAAGCGGCCTTCCGTTTGAGGTAGTGAACCACTAGCTCTTCATCAGTCGGGTGGAATCGGAATCCTGGCGGGAGTTGCAGGTGCGGTGAGGCGGATGATGAATCTGTACTCTCCATTTATATCTATGGAGTTGAAGACTACTGATAAGGTAGATGAAAATAATGGACAAAGTAAGATTATATGTTAATGTTATAAGCTAAGGAAAGGGGTATGGGCTGGTGGGGGACAAAGAGTCGCTGACTGTTAGGTTCTGATGAAGGGCCCAGTGAGCACCGATGATCAGATAACACGTGGCAGTTTTGGTGAAGGTTGTGGTGACTCGTGGAAGGAATGGGTGGTAGGGACCACATAAGCGGGCAAAAGGCAAGAAAATTGGTAAGGGACAGGTTTCTGGGATCGTCGGAGGTTTGGAACTGCCTGCACGCTTTCCATGTCATGCTTTTCTTATGTAACAGCCTCAACCTCAGTCCAAAAAACTAATTTTCAAGAGAAAAAGGGAGCGTGTAACGTGTGCAAGCATGTGAGTTTTCGAGCCATACTTTATTTTTTTTTTAAATTTAAATTTATTTAATTTCATAGAACAATGAAAAATTCACCTATGTAAACATGCTTCATTAGTAAGTTCGTTTTAAGATTGTATTTTGAAATTTTTTTTCTTGTAAATTGGATAGTTTATTTTAAGATTACCCTTTAGATCATACTAAAGAAGTATGAAATCATATAGGAATTATAACAATGCGAAAAAGTATTCTTTTAACTTGGAGAACAAGTGAAGAACAGGCACAATCCATGGAACAAGGGACGTTTTTGACCCGGCAAGTTGTCATTTTCCTTCTATATAATCGATCCGAATGCATGTTATAAATATAGATTACAGGTAGCATGCTTTCCTTGATAGCGCTTTATGTTTTGGAGTTTACTTACTATAGCCTTCAGAAAATGCATGCCTTATGTGTGTCTGCCTATTCACTCTAGCATATTCTTTTTTATACAAAGGAGACCACAATTTAAGGAGAATTGTAGAAGAAAATTTTGTTTAAGTGTTGGAGATTGAACTTTTTAAAAAAGTGAGTGAATTATTTAAGCTAAGTTCAAAGTTCTACTCTTGCATATTCTGACTATTAACTCTAATCATCTTTATTTACTTCACTCTTTTTTGTTTTAAGAAAAATCTAATCAAGAATTGCAGCCCCTTTTATATATGTTTTCTTTTTCTCTCATTTGGTTTCTTTTCTTTGCCACTAGAAGGAATTCTGCGGCCAAAATTACCGTTCTCTGCTTCAAGTACAGAGCCAATTAGTTGAACGTTATTTTCAATGGATGATACGCTGTCACTAAATAAGTTCTTAAAAGCACGAGGGAAATGCAATTTCATTACCTAAATGCCTAACTAAGAAAATCGACTCTATGATGTTAATGTAATTTCATTTCTAATTGTCTTTGTTTTTGCGTGGCTGAAATGCTATAATGATAATGTAAATGCCGATGCATATGCGTTGGCGTCAAAAGCTGTAGTAGCTTGATACTAAGAATATCTAGCTAGTTGCCTTGACCAGTTTGGAAAAATGATGATTGATTAGAGAAAGAGCCTGTTGTTTGAAGATACTTGTTTTGGCTAGCCACAACATTCTCAACTAATGAATTTCATTTTCGGCTTATCTGTTGTATCCAAACATTACAAATTTAAAAGAGGATTTGGACAATTATCCATATAGAGGAATTCCATAGCTTCACTGCCTAAAACTGAAAAGTTTGGAGCTTTAATCAACAATGATGCTGTACCGAAAAAATCTGATGCACTTAGTAGGAGCATTGGTATGAGAAAAACTGCCTTTTAACCTTTGTTGTAATCTGACAAAAGAGCCTGTTTGTAAATACAGGGATGATCTTTCAGAATTTATCCTAATGGCACTTCATGTTTAATGGCACTTCATGTTAATATCGTTCTTTCTTTTTCCCGGTCAACAAATCTTAAAGGGGGAAAATAATTTTCATGAAAGTTCTTTAATTTTCGATAGAGATTGACAGTATCTTTGTCATATTGTCCTCATAATTGTGAAGCAATGAATTCCCTTTCAAAATTAAAAGGTGGTTAAAGAGATATCTGTAGCAGTACAGCTACGCAAATGGATGTCTTAGTCAAAATTCATCAGGAAAGATGCTGGTCCACTGCCACTTACAAGTACATGACAAAATAATAATGGTTTCTTACTGTTAACAGAAGGTGAAATACCAGCCACGTTTCGGCTGCAGAGCTGACTTCTAAAACAATAGAGGTAATAACATGTGTTTTTGATGGTTTATTGTAAAACTTAAAAATAGACTTACAAACTGGAAAGGGCAGAAATCAGGTGTCATTTCGATGATTTACTTGAAACAATTAGGATATGGTACATACAACCAATAAAACAACTTAGTTTAACTTCAGGCAATCAAAGGGAAGACCAAAGAAACAGTGTTGCAAATTGATTATTATGAGAGAAAATACGAATGAAAGAAAAGGAAGCTTTGCAAATTGAACCAAGAAATGATGATCCAAGCTGCATACTCAAGATTTCCAAAGAAAATCTTTGAATATTCAGATTTGTCCAAGTTGTGGCTTGCACACATGTGGAGTTGCTTGTATCCTATTTCATAGAAGGTTAGGTCTCATAAGCCGAGCTAAAAGGCTACCAACAACCTTACCTGTGCCAACTCACTTGCTCTTTAGGCAAGAACAGTCAGCTTTTGATGCTAGTGAGATTACATGCTTTGTTCATATCACAAGACAACAAATTTACATCCATATGAGACAGAAAATCGAAGATTTATCGGGGTTTAACTCAAACATAATTATATTTATTTCTTTTGTTGAAAGAGTACTTTATTTTGCAACAGATAGTCTTTTGGACTATCAGAAAAAGAAATGAAAAGGCTAAAATATAAAACAGACATTCACTAAATTATCCCAAATTCAGTTATATCAAATGAGAATTCTTCTTTTCTGACCCCGAACTTGTACGTTTCAAGGGCCTCCTTCAACCTTTCAATGGTGTCATAACATACATCTTGCAACCATGAGCAGGAACGTATGCAGTCATTCTATAACGCTTATTCATTGAAACAAATGAGTGCTGCAATAGAAACATCGTAAAGGTTAAGTCCAGCTAAAGATAAGGCCTGTTAGTTTAAACCATCAGATCAGAGAGGACTGTAAGGCTAAACAATACCTTCCACAAGTCTCTAACAGTGACAGGACTAGAGGGAGAGAGTCCAATGTCTCTCCATCCCACAGATATAGGTGCTCTACATTGGCTTCTGTTCCATAACACTACCACCACCCTTTTCCCCGATAATGGCCCTGCCCAAACCTGTATCGTTTTGATGAGGAACTTGCGGTCAGTTATATTTAGGAACTTACCCTTTTTTCTTTTTTCATTGGAGGGTTTGACAAGAAGACTTCTTTGGAAATGACATGGAAGAATATAGTGTTCAAAGAAAATACCTCTAGGCCGCCTTTGGATCGTATTTTCCTCCCCTGAACTCCTAGTGGATCCTGATTAACTGCTATCACTTCCTTGTTTCCAAGGATACTTAGAGTCTCTTTGCTTGCAGATCGAACATCGCATCCAATGAGCAGAGGAGCCTGCCAAGGTTTACGATACATTAAGCACAACAAGTGCAAGGTAGAAAAAGAAGGCTAGAATTAAGAGAGACACACCTTCATAAGAGCCCAAAGACTAAACTGAGAATGATATTCCTCAACATTCATCCCTCCATTGCCCACTTCCAGCATGTCAGGATCTAGTGTGAATTTGTGATTGCGGCTTAAATTAGTGAAATAATATTAAACGAAAGATGAACAAACAAAGTAGATACAAATCAATTATGTTTATTGAAATAGTGCCGCATCCTTTTTGCACTGAATAGAAAAATGATTGCAGAAGTTAAATATGCAGTTACCATTCCACCTGCCAGGTCCCGCATATCTTCCCCAAATGTTGTTTGCATCTGCAATTGACGTTATACTGCAAATGGGGAAAAAGAAAAAGAAAACAAAAATGAAACTATGAAACTATGAAAATCCAGAACCATAATCAGTTCATTAGCATAAGTGTACATTAATAAAAGAAGAAAAAGGACTAGACCTTGCCCAGGTGTCATTAATATCCCCAGTAGTCCTCCAAGCATGGCCATATGAACCTGCCCATTTTGCTGGATCCTCTTGTCCCCTGGAAGTATACAATTATGTTATAGGAACAGTCCATAAATTTTAGTGTGAAATTGATGTCTTAAACTTCATATGCACGTACCATTCACATAAAGCGTAAAGGATTTGTGGGCCAGCTTTTCGCAATGCCCGACTCATCACAGCATATCTTCACAAAGAAAATTTTATTTTACATAAGTAAATGTTCTTAATTTTGTAAGGACACGTAAATTAGTTTCTGAATATGCTCAATGTAATAAACTCTAGTGACAAACGATTCTACCTTTTTCGATTTTTGGAACCATCATGGTAGCAGTTGTCATACTTTAAGTAGTCAACCCCCTACAAAAGAAGTCCCCTCATTAGCCGGAATCCTGTATTTAAGCAAATTCTACAGTCTCAAACTTAAGGACACCAACCCATTCTGCAAAAGTTCTTGCATCTTGATATTCATGCCCAAGAGAGACAGGCATTCTGTCACTGCAGGTTCTATCACTGTGGAATTGGAACAAAGTTTAAACTCTCAAACACTTTACCATATATTTGTTTTATAAGAACAAATTTTGTACACATGATTAGTATAATTGAGGGACATTTACCCAGCATCAGCATATATCCCAAGTTTCAAGCCTTTAGCATGAACATAATCTGCAAGGGCCTTAATGCCAGAAGGAAAGGTAGTGGCTTTGGACATTAAATTACCCTTCTTGTCTCTTTCCCCTTCAGCCCAACAGTCATCTGCTTTTACAAAAACGATTAGGAAAGAAATGAAAACTCATGTGATCACCATTATATTTTGTTTGTTATTGTCCATAGAATTCAAAGGTATGGGCAAAAAGAATTAAGAAAAGCTTGTTTTTGATTCATACCAAGATTTACATACTTGTATCCAAGTCCTGCCAAACCAGTTGAAACAAGAGCATCCGCGTTTCTTGGGAAAAAAAACAAACTAGTAACAATCTATGTTAAAAAGAATATCAAAGTTACTTTCTTAAAACACGAGCCTTATATTATATATCCGCCAGTGGTATAAACTTTTGGCTCAAATCCTAACATTATTCTGATTCCAGCAATTTCAGGACTGGAAACTTGGCCCGTGTCAAAACATGAGGAAATAGTTCAGTTCTCCCTTAAAAGATTTATGTGAGGATTATTCAGAACAGGCAGAGGCAATATTTATTCTTTCAACCAACAATTAACAGCAACAAATCACTAGATATCAGAAAATAAAGCAAGTAAATTCTCCTACCAAATGAAGGAGTTTTCAGTTTGAATTTGAAATTCAAAGTCAGTGTATTGAAAATGGGTGTAGAGAAGATGCACCAAATTTTAGGTGCATTGAATAATTGGATGGTCCTATTTAAGGACAGTAAAGATCATGGTCTTCAATTTTAAGCATTTATGCTGCAATATTAAATATATATTAGAATGAGTCATGAAGACCAAAGATAAAAGGAAAAGAGAAGATAATTCATAATCTACAGTTTAATTTCAAGAATTCCATGGTTGGACGTATTCAGATCCCAATAAAGAAGAGTGTAGGCAATTCTTCTGAAGTAAAAGACGGTTTAGTTTATATAAATATAGTTATAGAACTGGTGAGAATTTTCATTCATGTATTATTATTAACCATAAATTTATTAATGAATTCAAGAAAAAATTAATTACTACGATAAAAGAGAACAATAAAAGAATTCAGATTGAAGGGTGTCCACTGTTAGAATATTCAAAGTCAAATATAAAGAAAATGGAAGGAATTAGAGTGTGATTTCCAAAGCTGTAAGCTGCTTGGTGGTGGTCTCCAGCATCTATGTTAACATGATTCATGCGAAAGGAAATGGCAAGCAAGAAGAAAATTAACATCCAATATAAAGAAAGAAAACAAAACAAAACAAGTTAATACATAACTTGAAAGATATATGACTTAATTTGCATTATTTCTACAAAAGGGAATAACATAGCTCTGTTGGGAGATTTGCCACACTTAGAGCCCATAAGAATAACTAGAGAGCTTATACATATATGTCATACACCACTTGAGCTTAAAAGCTTAAATTATTATGTTCTTAGATCTTTTATGTTTATATAAGACATCTCATTTATATTTTTTAGTGATGTGAAATTTTTTATTCACATGTGAACCTTATCCCAACAATCTCTCATGTTATCTTATGAGTTCTAATCAAGTCCCACATCGACTTTCTCGTGCAAGTAAGTTCTATCAACATATTTTTTGGGCTAGGCAACCTCACCTCTAGTGCACTTTTAGGCCAAGCCACAACACTCAACCTTGCTACCTAAGTTGTTTCAATGCCCTTTCAAGCTTGCACTCCAGGTTGACTCAATATCTCACCTACTTGAGTGTTTTTGTCACGTCCCGAATCGAGACATAACACGGCCATATTACCTTAAAGAAAACCCCAAAGTAATACGAAACATTCTTTCTTAATTATTCTAAAATTCTTCAATAAAACAATCTACCAAGTAAAATTCATATCTTTAATTCAGCTGATGATACATCTTTATATATCCAAGTACAAATCATATAAAATACAAAACTGCCTCTTAAAATCTCATTGGCCAACATATTCTTCGATGATTAAGTAATCTTACCATTTCATCTTTAGCTTCATACAAGACTAACCAAACTTATCACTTAGTCATCTATAAAGAAAAAGTAAAAAGGGAATGAGCAAACCACAACTCAGTAAGTATAGGCTCACACACCTTACCAGATCAAGCATTGTTTTCTTACACCATATAGATCATTCAAAACATTCATCAAATCATAATATCAAAACATTTCAAGATCATCGTTTTGTCAAATATTTCATAAATTCATAAATTAATGTCAAAATATGTCACTTCATAAATCATTGCAAAATATGCTACCATTCAAATATCATAATCAAATCAAATCATGGATCAATCATTAAAATCATCATAAATCATCATTATCATTCAAATCGTTAGCTACGGTCACTGCTATAACCCGTGACATTAGCCGTATCGACAATTTCATTCTCATGATCATTGCTAACTATTATAACCCGTTAGCCAAGGCTTATGCTAACTACTATTACCCGTTAGCTAGGGTCGTATGATCATGTCTTTACTAACTACTATTACCCGTTAGCCAGGATCGTAGAACTAAGTTCTGGTGTCGATGATCCACTTCCCAGGGATATAAAAACGTAGCTATCATAAAATCATTCTTTAAACATAAATCATTTTCTCATTTCATTCATAAGCATGATCCAACATTTATATAGAGAAACACAAAATAATCATATGCTTGATCCTATTTTCATACACTGAAAATAATGAAATAAAACATTCTTTCATTTAGAAACATATATATATATATACATAGATTCGAAAACAAACAAAGTGTGTGAGATTCTACTTACCTCCATTCGATTCCACCACTTAGTTTTTCCCCCCAAAATCATTAATGGCCTATCCAAGATCATTTCAACAGATCAGAATTTAATCAACCCTTTTTGAGACCATTTATACAAAAATCAACTAAGTTACACAAAGGGTTAACTTAAATAATTAATACTGGCAACCTGACCTCTTTTCATTAAAACAGTCATATCTCTATATATCCAAATCAGAATTATGATCTCTTTAATGCGTTAGAAACTAGACTTAATAAGCTTTCTAACCATATATGGTACACCTCGTAATTCCTTGTAGATTAATTATAACAATTTTTGAAATCCACATCATATACTGCTGCCAAACAGCCTGTATACCTTCTAATAAAAACTATATATTATTCACAGGAAGCTCCAAATTCAATTCCGCTTATTTCATTGGAAAGTAGACTCAATAAGCTTTCCAAACATATATGCTTAATTTGTAAATCCTTGTATACGAATTAAGAAGAATTTCATAATTTAACACTGATGTTGCTGTCTCACAGCCTGCTTATTCTTAAGTTAAAATCAGACAACTCTTCATAGATAACTCGGATTTGACTTTCGTTTATTTCATTAGAAACTAGATTCAACATGCTTTCCAATGATATATAATAATCACAGCAATAATCTATCCATTAATGCAAAATTCTATTTTAATTCATTATTACAGATCACAATATCTCATCCAAAAATAAAATTTTTCCTTCAATTTTTAAAAACTCAAATCCTTACTTTCAGCCTTCAAACTCCATTCAATAATCATCAATAAATCTTAAAAACATGAAATAAACAAAGCCCAGTAATTTACCCAAATAGATCATCAAGATTAATGAAGGATTTCATGATTTTTCTTGGTTTTTCTCTCAAAACTTCAACTCCAAATAATAGCAATCAACTTGATATTTCTTCTTAAATAAAAAGAGGGCATGTACTTACCTTTAAGGGATTAACTTGATTGTGGCTTCTGATTGTGAATCTCCAACTTGATTTTTCATATTCTCTAACCCTAAAGAAGATGAAGAAGAAGAACTCTATTTCCTTTCTGTTTTACGATAGGTAGGTTTTCTTTCATCTAATACTTCAGTCCTTTTTCTTTTACTAAATAATGTCTTAATAAACTAATGGGCTTTAGTATTAGTCTAGCCCAATTATTATTTGGGCTAGGGTATTACAGTTTTACTTTTGCATATTATCATATACTCGCTGCATCTACGTCAAACTTTTTAATATTAACATTCGAGCACATGGAGTTGATGGATGTGACCAAATTTTGATCTGCCAACAATCTCTCATTTAGCAATACCATTATGACTTGAACCCATAACCTTGACTCTTATACTAGTTATTAAGAGATTTGTTACACTTGAAACTTATAGAAACACACTAAAGAGCCCATATATACATATCAGATACTACTTAAGCCCAAAAACTTAAACTATTAGGTTCTTAGGTCTTTCATGTATATATAAGACATCTTATTCAAATTTTTTAGTAATGTGAGATTCTTTACTCATATGTGAATCTTATCCCAACAAGCTTTACCTATGTGTGTTACAGCTCGTTATATGTGGTTTAGGATTGACTCTATGGTTCCCTAATTGTTGCTCACATCATTGTCCTTCATAGACTAATAAAGCACTACAATCATCACCCATTATAAGTTACAAGCGAAAATGATTTAATTTGAGTAGGAGTGTTTCACTAGCCCATAAGGATAAAACTCGAGTGTAAAGCTCATATTATACATATGCAAGTGAATGATAGATAGGATAAATAAGTAAATAAATAAAATACAGACAAAAAGAAAAATAATAAAATAATTTTCAAATTTATTAAATTGGGCTTGGATAATAAGAAATCATTTATTGGCCTGACCTTTAATATCTCTAGTAAAATCTTCAAACTGTCATAACGTCTAGATTTATAGATCTATCACTAGACATAGATTAAAAGAGTTGCCATAATCTTTTTTGTTTAAGTGGGATTGATCACCTGATCGAATCCGTCCCAATTTAAAAAGGGGTTTCAAGTTTAACTTAGGTATCTTTAAATAGTATATTCTGATCCACGAAACTAAATTTTAAGTTCGAAAGTGCAATTACACGTGAGGAAGGTTATAGCACCCTTACAGCGTCTATCTAAAGGATGGTTCCAGTTTGATTCTAAATTATCCAAGCCTTAAAATATTCATATAAATTTATCAAATAATTTAATTATTGAAAATTAATCCTAAATTTAGTCCAATAGTTTGGTAACAATTTAAAATAATTTTTTCACTTCAAAAATATTCATAGAGACTAATGTCTTACTTTGAAGAGGCTCAGTTGCAGGATTCATTAATATATTTTATTCAAGAAAATAATTAGTAAAATCCTTCAATAGTTTAGTAAGATTTATTTTGATGCAATCTTCCAATAGTTTGGTGAAATTTCATTGTAAATTTCTTTATAGAAAATGTATGAAATCTTTCAATAGTTTGTCAGGATTTTATTTCGATGCACACCGCCCAATATTTTAGTGGATTTTTATTTGAAAATTTATTTATGGCTTTATCTTAAGAAAAAACTGTTAAATTTTCTAATCATTTGATAAGATTCAACTCGAAATTTAAATCATTTAATAGTTTGGTAGAGCTAGAATTTTTTATTTCATAAAAAAAATTTATTATGAAATTTTCTAATGGTTTAGTAAAATTCATTAACTCTAAACCCATGACAAATTTTTCAATAATTTGGTAGCACTCATAAATTTATTTTTAAAAAATTCATTATTATTTTTAACTCATAATCTTTAAATTTTATTTTAAACATACAAAAAAGATAAAATAAATGAATAAATATACAAATAAATAAAATATGAAAATTACCTTAATGGATGGGGGCACACCCAAAATTATTCCAAGACATACCAAGCCTATTCCAAGTTTAGGCTAGCAAGAATCAAGGCCTAGTTGATTCAATTTTTGGTCAACTATTTCAATATTTTGTCTTCCATACTACTACACTACATCTTTGAAATTTTCTGGCCAAATGGTTTAGTATACACAAAGTTTGAAGTACGTGGACTTTAAATGGTCTCCTTTGCTCATGTTTTTTTCATTTTTATTTTTTTTTTTGTGTGGTTGATTGATGTTTATATAGGACCTTCTGCAAGGAATTTTAGGGATTTGCATTGAATGGAAAGAATTGAAATTTGATTATGCTTTAAATTGATTTTTTTCTTGATTCTCTCTAAAATCGGTTTAATTAATTTCTGAAATTGTCTCGATTTTTTGTGATTTTTGTAATCCTCAAAATTTTTCAAGTTAAATTTGACTTTGATTCCCTAATTTGATTTTTTTTTCAACCATGCTTTAATATTTGAAGCGATTATGTTTTAGTCTTAATTGCCAAAATTATCTTTGATTAGTAGTCAAATTACTCCACAAATTTCATTGACATGATTTATGATAAAAATTTAAAACCAAATAAATAAAAGATTAAACATAAATAAATAAATAAGACAAACAAAATATAAAAAAGAGAGTAGGAAATTAGACAATTGGGCTTGGATTAGATCTGAGCTCAATTGGTTTGAGTCCCGGGCTAAATAAAGTGTTTACAATTGATCTTAAAAAATTGTTAATAAAAATTTTAATATATTCGATCAACTTGTAAAGAGTATAATTTTGTAGACTTGAAATTCTATAAAACATTATCGTTGAGGTTATTGAAGATTTTGATTTTTGATTTAATTTGATATCTGTTATTTTGTATGCTTAAAATTCATCTCATGAATATCCAACATTGTTATGCCCTAAATTCTCTCAGGTTTAGGGTATGACATGTTATAAATAAATATATATATATATATATATATAAATTACAGGTAGTATGCTTTCCTTGACAGCGCTTTATGTTTTGGAGTTTACTTACTATAGTCAGAAAATGCATGCCTTTGGTGTTGCCATAGCCTTTCCTTGGTAGCGCTTTATGTGTTGCTGCCTTATGTGTTACTATAGCCTTCAGCTTATCTGTTGAATTCCAAACATTACAAATTTAAAAGAGGATTTAGACAATTATCCATATACGTAGTGAGTGATCACTTTAAAAATTATAATGATTTATATATGGTAATTATATCACTATATTTAGTAAGCACTTGGTGATCCTACAAAATGATAATGTTGGATCACTAAGAATGATCAAATCACTACCTTAGAATGTGATCTAATTTCTATATAAAAGAGTGACAAACTTTTATCATCGAAATGAAGTGATATATAAAATTAACAATAATTAATTTTACTCATTTAATATATGAATTAAAATTTTGTTGCATCTTAAAATTATAGTTATTTTATATTATAAATTTTTATATTTTCAAATTAATATTCATTATAAGAAATTCAAAATAATTTGCATATTTTTTTTAATATTTTATACATAATATAATTTTTTATTTTTCTTTTATTATGAATTTAATATATTGGTTTTGTTTTTTAATTTAATTTTTTTTCATAATTTATATTATAAAAATAAATTTACCTATCAATAAACACATTTATTAATTTAATAATTGAATTATATTTTATTATAAAATAAATAAATATTACTAATATTTTACAAATTATTATCTTTAAAAACCATAGAATTATTAATTTATATAACTATTATAATAATTTGGTTATTTTTGTACTCTTAAACAAAATAATATTTAATTTTTAGTAATACCAAACACAATGATCTTTAATTTTTGAGAATTAATCATTGTTAATTAAATAAAGTGCTTTCAAATCATGAGTGTTAAAATTACCTTAATAATAAAATCATCTCAATAATTACATTATTATAATGATTTTATAAAAAATATCAAACGCTAACATAGGAATTCCATCGTTTCACTACCTAAACTGAAAATTTTGGAGCTTTAATCAACAATGGTTTTGTAACGAAAAAATCTGATGCACTTAGTAGGAGCATTGGTACCAGAAAAACTGCCTTTAACCTTTGTTATAATCTTAGAGAAGTGCCTGCTTGAAAATACAGGGATGATCTTTCAGAATTTATCATAATGGCATATCATCTTATTATCATTATTATCATTCTTTCTTTTTCCCTGTCAACAAATCTCATAGGAGAAAATCAATTTCATGAAAGTTCTTTAATTTTCAATAGAGATTGACAGTATCTTTGTGTGATTGTCCTTATAATTGTGGAGCAATGAATTTCCCTTCAAAATTCAAAGGTGGTTACAGAGATATCTGTAGCTAGCAGCTGTATACACAAATGGATGTCTTAGTCAAAATTCATCAGGAAAGATGTTGGTCCCCTGCCACTTCCAAGTACATGACAAAATAATAATGGTTCTTACTGTTAACAGAAGGTGAAATACCAGCCAACTTTCGGCTGCAGAGCTAACTTTTAAAACAATAGAGGTAATAACATATGTTTTTGATGGTTTATTGTAAAACTTTTTGATAGACTACAACTTGGAAAGGGCAGAAATCAGGTGTCACTGCGATGATTTACTTGAAACTATTAGGATATGGTACATACAACCAATAAAACATCTTAGTTTAACTTCAGGCAATCACATGGAAGACCAAAGAAAAAGTGTCGCTTTGCTTAGAGATTTCTGATAAAGTAAAATTTTAAAAAGAGGTTGAATTATGATAGGTGTTAGAATTTTTAAGTTATGAGAGAAAAATACGAATGAAAGAAAAGGAAGCTTCGCAAGTTGAAGCAAGAAATGATGATCCAAGATGCAAACAAGATTTCCCAAGAAAATCTTTGAATATTTAGATTTGTCCAAGTTGTGGCTTGCACACTTGTGGAACGCTTGTATCCTATTTCACAGAAGGTTAGGTCTCATAAGCCGAGCTAAAAGGTGACCGACAACATTACCTGTGCCAACTCACTTATTCTTTAGGCAAGAACAGTCGGCTTTTGATGCTAGTGTGATTACATTCTTCGTTCATATCACAAGACAACGAATTTACATCCATATGAGACAGAAAATCGAAGATTTATCAGGGACTAACTCAAACATAATTGTATTTATTTCTTTTGATGAAAGAGTACTTTATTTTGCAACAGATAGTCCTCACTCCTAATCTTCCAAACTTCATTTGCACTATCAGAAAAAGAAATAAAAAAGCTAAAAAATAAAAATAGACATCCACTAAATTATCCCAAATTAAGTTATCTCAAATGAGAATTCTTCTTTTCTGACGCCAAACTTGTACGTTTTAAGCGCCTCCTTCAACCTTTCAATGGCGTCATAACATACATCTTGCAACCATGAGCAGGAACGTATGCAGTCATTCTATAGCGCTTTTTCATTGAAACAAATGAGTGCTGCAATAGAAACATCGTAAAGGTTAAGTCCAGCTAAAGAGAAGGCAAGTTAGTTTAAACCATTGGATCAGAGAGGAATGTAAGGCTAAACAATACCTTCCACAAGTCTCTAACAGTGACAGGACTTGAGAGAGAGAGTCCAATTTCCCTCCATCCCACAGATATAGGTGCCCTACATTGGCTTCTGTTCCATAACACTACCACCACCCTTTTCCCTGATAATGGCCCTGCCCAAATCTGTATCGTTTTCATGAGGAACTTGTGGTCAGTTATAGTTAGGAACTTCTTTTTTTTTTTTTTTTCATTGGAGGGTTTGGCAAGATGACTTCTTTGGAAATGACATGGAAGAATATAGTGTTCAAAGAAAATACCTCTAGGCCACCTTTGGATCGTATTTTCCTCCCCTGAACTCCTAGTGGATCCTGATTAACTGCTATCACTTCCTTGTTTCCAAGGATACTTAGAGTCTCTTTGCTTGCAGATCGAACATCGCATCCAATGAGCAGAGGAGCCTGCCAACAAAAGGTTACTATATATTAATCACAACAGTTAAAGTGCAAGATAGAAAAACAAGGCTAGAATTAAGAGAGACAAACCTTCATAAGAGCCCAAAGACTGAAATGAGAACGATATTCCTCAACATTCATCCCTCCATTGCCCACTTCCAGCATGTCAGGATCTAGTGTGAATTTGTGATTGCGGCTTAAATTAGTGAAATATTATTAAACAAAAGATGAACAAAGTAGATAGAAATCAATTATGTTTATTGAAAGAGTGCTGCATCCTTTTGCACTGAATAGAAAAATGATTCCAGAAGTTAAATTTGCAGTTACCATTCCACCTGCCAGGTCCCGCATATCCTCCCCAAATGTTGTTTGCATCTGCAATCGACGTTATGCTGCAAATGGGGAAAAAGAAAAAGAAAACTCAAATGAAACTACGAAAATCCAGAACCATAATCAGTTAATCAGCATGAGCGTACATTAATAAAAGAATAAAAAGGACTAGACCTTGCCCAGGTGTCATTAATATCCCCAGTAGTCCTCCAAGCATGGCCATATGAACCTGCCCATTTTGCTGGATCCTCTTGTCCCCTGGAAGTATACAGTTCTGTTTTAAGAACAGTCCTTAAATTTTAGTGTAAAATTGGTGTCATAAAATTCATATGCACGTACCATTCGCATAAAGCGTAAAGAATTTGCCTGCCAGCTTTTCGCAATGCCCGACTCATCACAGCGTATCTTCACAAAGTAAATTGTATGTTACATAACAACTAAATGTTCTTAACTTTGTAAGGACACGTAAATTAGTTTCTTAACATGCTCAACATAATAAACTAGAGTGACAGATGATTCTACCTTTTTCGATTTTTGGAACCGTCATGGTAGCAGTTGTCATACTTTAAGTAGTCAACACCCTACAAAAGAAGTTCCCCCATTAGCCAGAATCTTGTATTTAAGCAAATTCTATAGTCTCAAACTTAAGGATACCAACCCATTCTGCAAAAGTTCTTGCATCTTGATATTCATGACCAAGAGAGCCAGGCATTCTGTCACTGCAGGTTCTATTACTGTGGAGTTGGAACAAAGTTTACACTTTCAAACACTTTGCCATATTTTAGTTTTATAAGAACAAATTTTGTACACATGATTAGTATAATTGAGGGACATTTACCCAGCATCAGCATATATCCCAAGTTTCAAGCCTTTAGCATGAATATAATCTGCAAGGGCCTTAATGCCAGAAGGAAAGGTAGTGGCTTTGGACATTAAATTACCCTTCTTGTCTCTTTCCCCTTCAGCCCAACAGTCATCTGCTTTTACACAAACGATTAGAAAAAGAAGTGAAAACTCATGTGATCACCATTATATTTTGTTTGTTATTGTCCATAGAATTCACAGATATGAGCAAAACGAAGTAAGAAAAGCTTGGTTTTGATTCATACCAAGATTTACATACTTGTATCCAAGTCCTGCCAAACCAGTTGAAACAAGAGCATCGGCTGTTCTTGGGAAAAAAACGAACTAGTAAAAATCCATGTTAAGAAGAATATCAAAATTACTTCTTAAAACATGAGCCTTATATTTTATATCCATTAGAGGCCAAAGCTTTTAGCTCAAATCCTAACATTAAACCAAGATTTCTGATTCCAGCAATTTCAGGATTGGAATCTTGCCCGTGTCAAAACATGAGGGAATAGTTCAGTTCTTCCTTGAAAAATTTATGTGAGGATTTTTCAATACATTAGAACAGAACACAAGGCAGAGGCAATATTTACTCTGTCAACTAACAATTAACAGTAACAGGTCACAAGATATCAGAAAACAAAGCAAAGAAATTCCCCAACAACCAAATGAAGGAGTTTTGAGAATGAAATTGAATTTCAAAGTCAGTGTATTGAAAGTGGGTGTAGAGAAGATGCAACAAATTTTAGGTGCACTGAATAATTGGATGGTCCTATTCAAGCAGAGTAAAGATCATGGTCTTCAATTTTAAGCATTTATGCTGCAATATTAAATATATATTAGAATGAGTCATGAAGACCAAAGATAAAAGGAAAAGAGAAGATAATTCATAGTCTACAGTTTAATTTCATGAATTCAATGGTTAGAACTATTCAGATCCTAATAAAGAAGAGTGTAGACAATTCTTCTGATGTAAAAGACGGTTCAGTTTATTTAAATATGGTTATAGAATTGGTGATAATGCTCATTCATGTATCAGTATTAAGCGTAAATTTATTAATGAATTCAAACTAAAATTAATTATTGCAATAAAAGACTGCAGATTGAAGAGTGTCCACTGTTAGAATGTTCCAAGTCAAATATAAAGAAAATGGAAGGAATTAGAGTGTGATTTCTAAAGGCTGTAAACTGCATGGTGGTGGTCTTAAGCATCTATTCATCAATTCTGCAACAAAATACTAATCAATGTTTTGAAAAAGAAAGAGTGAGGGATACCTGATACATATGCATAATGTAACCAAAGTAGGCTCAAGTTCAATTAAACCCTTTTTATTTTTGAGGACTTCAGAGGTAAAAATACTTGCACCTATTATTGACTCTAATGCTTGATTGATAGTCAAATTAACTATTTTCTTAAGAAGTAAAAAATTTTAAAGATTGGGTATTGATTTTGAAAAGTGCTAGTTTAGTTAGCTAGCAAAATCTAACCTTTGAAAGCAAGTTCTGCTTTTACTAAATAAAAATGAAAATGACAAAGGAGAAAAAAAATAATATCAGTTTGACCATTTTCCTTCCATGAAAGAAAGAACATTGTTTATTATTGGTTAAACCATTTGACTTTCTCTAGAACAAAGATAATTGAGTAATAGGAAAATTTACCAGTAGCCTTGATAGTCTTCTCATCTATATCACAATGAAAATGGTTCCAGCTATTCCATCTACAACAATGATCTACCTCAGTTAATAAATGTAATTGCCTTAAGTCAAAGTGAAGGCAAAAGTAACAGAATTAATACCCCATTGGAGGAGTACGAGCAACCCCGTCGTCTAGAAGGAACCGAGAGTAACCTTGATCACGTCCATGGCTTCTGCTACTGATGTTCATTGAACTAGCCACCTCGTGGACGAGCCATAGGTTGAAAACAGCAATAAAAAGGAAGTTAACAATGAATCCCATATTAAAGACAAAGGAAAAACAGAGAGGGGAATTGAGATGGAGACTGGAGTTTTGAAATCAAAGATTCAAAAAATGCCAAATGCAGATGGGAAATCGGATGAGACAATCCTTTTACTTGAACCGGCTAACTGGTTTGTCGGTTGGTGCACAACCTTCTTAAATATGATTTTTGCTTTTACTCGTAAACTAAATATTGTGGGACATTTAAAACCACTCTTTTCATCCAATATCAAATCAAAAGAAAGGGAACTGTGAAATTTTGGTGCAGTATGACAATTCTCCAACTTACTGTATTTATAGCAATTTTTGATAAAACCATTATCCTTGAGGCTTATCAACAGAATGAGTCAAGATTTTTTTGGTAAGATTCATATCTTTAAACTTTTATCTCTCTTAGTAATTAAGCTGATCAGTTTTTAAGTTTTTCAGTTTTTAAGGCTTATCAAAGTGGATTTTTATTTACACGAGAGATTCTTTGAAAATGAAATCCTATTATAACAATTTTATAAAATATTAATCATGTAGTATATTAAGCTTGTATAATTGTTGAAATTTGTTGATTGAACCAATCAGATAATAACTGTTATATCAAATCTCATTGTTGAAGATAATGATGTGATCTTCCACATTATTAACAAGAAAAAAATTGGACTTGCCGCAGTTTGACTTTAAATTTTTTGAACTATTTTTTTGGGATGCCAAAAGGAAGGGGTCAATTCTAGTTGCTACACCTTTACAGTTTTACCATGTATCAAAATTAAATTATAAATTATATCACATATATTATTATATTACAAATTTACAACATATATAGACATTTGATAAGATTTACCACATAGATGTTTATGTGAATAATTTTTTTAAATTACATGATAGTTTTTTTAAAAAAATATAACTTCTATTAATTACAAATTAGATAATCTTGAATCTACAAATATCAAAATTATTTAAGTTATAATTATAAATCAAATTAATCTAGAGATATTTATTAAAATTTAAATTTTAAAATATGGATTTTATCCAAATAATTTTAATTTTTTACAAGACAACTTTATTTTATAAATTATTTAATTATGAAGTCTTTCATCCTGTTTTAAAGTTATAAAGATTAAATTTATAATAATCTTTAAAAAATTCACTGTATTCTTTTATTTTAATTTGTATCAAATAACAAATTATCTCTTCAAAAATTTACGTAAAATATTAAAAATTTAAATAATCTTTTCATATTAAATATCTAAATAATATGACCTATATCCATCTCAACTCTAACTACAGTTTTATATTTAAAAAATAAATAAGAAATTCTATTTAATTTTTATCATTTATTATATCCTTTTCATTTTTTTAAATATCAGTTTGAAAATTATTTATTCAATCCTAAATGTCATCCAAAAGTTATTCTACAAATTAAAAATTATAAATATAATGTATTATGTTATTTTTTATCTTTTAATTTGCAGCCTTTTGGAATTCTATTGCTAATAAAAATTTTTTTAGAATGCATATTTATTTTTATAAAATATATTCAATTATTATTGCAAGTTTGTTCTTATGCAAATTAATATTTTTTTTAGCTTTTTTTTTTTCATACATCTCCTTACATTTTTCATGTTTTCTATAGTAATTTGAATAATATTATAAAAATTTTCAAAATTATCATGGTGATCTAATTACCATGATGATAAAATCATTAAGGTAATTTGATTACCAGTAATTTTAAATTACCATACTTTGTACAATATTATAGATTATTAGTATTTTTTAAATCACCGTATTTGATATTATATGAAAAAATAAATTATATAATATAAAATATCCAAAATAATCTTACAAAAAAGAAAAATATTTAGTACTAATTAAATCAACAATTTATGAAATAGTTAAACATTATTTTATAAACAAACTACTAAGTATAAATCAATTTTGATAAAAAAAATTCTAAAAAAATTATTAAATAAATTCATTATTTTTTAATCAATATAAATTTATAACATAAAACCTTTTTAGAATAAGTTATTAAAAAACTTATTTTTCTAAAAATTTTAGTGGCAAGTTTTTTACGGGTAATGTAAATTATATTTTTTTATGAGAATAAAATAGTCAAAAAATAATATTAAAAATTATTTTTTCATAATGATAAAACTTTTTCATTCGAAAATGAGATTACTCCCTAAGTAGTGATTTTAATACTCTAGTGATTTAAAATCAATGACAGATAAGATTTCTAAATTATTACTAAATAAAATGATATAATTATTGAGTACAAATCATTATGATTATTAAACAAATTACACCATACCAAACATTTTCTTAAAGTGTGATATTTAATAGGTTTAAATTTTAAATCTCACTATTTATAATTTCTTATTCTATCTCAAATTGTAACCTCTTTTATATTAAAAATAATAAATTGAATTAACATTTATTTTATAAATAAACTTTCATTCATTTTCATTATCCCTCAAATAATATGCATTAAGCGTGTGTGTATATATATATATATATATATTTCAAATTTAACGATGTATTTTTTTAATAATTTTTTTGAATGTATATGTTGTTCGATTAACTTAATAAATAAATAAGTTGTAAGTGGCCCGGTTGTACAAATATCGTCCGACTTAATTCTCATAAAATATTGCACTTGCCTAATACCTTTCGATTTTTGATATGCTACCATGTAGTCAGCAATAAGAAATCTAATTAGAAATTAAGAATGGCAGTGTGCTTTGATTTCTTTTTCAATAAACAATGAAATCTAAAAACTACCATTCCCCGGGGAAATATCCCAGCAATTAGATTGCGTCAAAGAGTTTCAATTGGTTTTAGCATCTAAATCAGTAATTTTTCAACGCCTCAAGGTCAACGCTAATAGATCTTCCCCTTTAAAGGTTTTGCCCAAATCAAAACAAAAAACTCCTTCCAATTTCCATCCATTTCCCCTTTTGCCCTTTTTCAAAAAGGGTTTTTCATTTGTTGCTATGAAACAAATAGTTTTTTACACACCAAAATAATTATTAATTGAATTGAAAAGTTAATCCAATTGGTTAATATTATCACTCTTAAAAAATAATATCAATAATTTTAAAATTTAAATTTCAATATTAACAATAATTTTTTATACTTAAGCTACAATCTCTTTTATTCATACAAATAGTTATTTAATTACAACATTATGTACCTGTCATCGGTGCCAAATCATGCATTTGATGTTATATCCATTATTTAATTAATGTAGAGAAACCATATATTAAAAAGAACATAACTTCAGATTTTCAATGCAATCGCGCGATTTTTGGAACTAGTTAAGCTAACATATACACCTTGCAAGCAACCAATTTAAGACTCATATACATATATATATATATATATATATAATATGCTTACGTCAATCCTCAGTGGACTTTCAAGCTGAAAGTTTTATACAATCAGTTTAGGTAGCTTTCATGCTTGTCAAATATTTCATATTAAAATAGATTAAGCCTTGACTTTGCTTCTGTTTCCATTTTAACAGATTTTTTATATATTCCCGCCCAAAAACAACGAGAGAAATTCGTGAAAACTTCATTAAGGTGCGTTGATCGATCTATGCAATGTCCTGGAAATTTTCAAACATGAAAGTAAATCTCCGTTGCTCTTTACAAAATTAATTTTCTGGGTATCAATTCAGATTCATATCCTTGAAATTACGGTGTTCTATCGGCGCAGCTCAACGTCTTCAAGTCTCAAAAAAAGACATAGAGACGACCTAGCTAGGCTTAGTTGAATGGTGAAGAAATAAAATAACAATTTTATTGAATCTTGAATTTATTACAAAAGAACATTGATTCTGTCCTAATGTATATGTTACAACAGGTTTTGAATCTAACCTATTTCATTGTTTCACTTATTTTAAATGATGGGAGATCTCATAAAAAAAAAAGGAAAAAAGAAAAAGAAGGAGAAGAAGAATAATTTTACAACTTATTTGGAGATCTCCCATCCTAAAAATGATTAAATTGAAGAAAGACATAAAAGAACCAAAAAAAAAAAAAAAGACTTGGGGTTAAAGGCACAGAGGTGATGCCTTAAGAAATAAAGAATATCTTCATTCGTATTATATACGTTAGTCACGACCCTGCACAATATATGTACTCTTCTTGCTTGAATTTTCTGCTTCCAACTCCACCAAGTTCTTAATGATAGCATCGGTTGCAGCATTCAAGAAATCCGACCAGTCCCTACATACCCATAAACGGAAAAGAAACAAAAAAATAAAATTAGAAATTCCATTCAATGATTATACCATTTCTAGTGAAAAAAGAACATTGGAAAGGTATTTCATACCCTGATGAAGTGTCAAATGTAAGTCCAACGGTGTACTTTGACTCCTCAAGAGCCCAGCTAAACCTTTGCAGTTGCTTATCAGAACTTGTTCCATAATCCATAAACTGAAGCTGAGACGGTTTCACATCACAAAATATTGGAATAACCCGTTTCTTACTCTCCATTAGGAGAGTTAGTTCATGGAGGCAAAAGTAGGAATCGCAATAATTGGGCGAAAAGATTGCTACACCCAGTTTACAATTCCGAATAGCCGGGTTGATTTTGTCGAATAAACTGTCACCAGGCTTCATGTTCCTGCTATCCAGGAAAGGCCTTAGCCCCAGCCTGAATAAATGATCATGAAGCAACCCTGCGATGGTTCTCTTTGTATCAATTCCTCGATGGTTAATAAAGATATCGCAAGGGAGTTTAGTAGTTGCCAGGATTGAGGTTCGGGGTTGGAGGATTTTACGACACAAGTTCTTGGCAGATGAAAAACAAAGCTTCTGCATGGCTAAAGCAAAGAGGAATAATATTTATTTCAAAGGTATATGATTGGCTTTTGGCCTTTAATGTTTTTGTTTGGAAGTTGTTTGGAGAGAGCTTGAGCGGGACAAATACGCTGAGAGATGAGGTATTTATAGGTCTCTAAGAGATCTGAAAATTTTTGTTTAATGAATGAAATTTTAATTTTCAAGCGAAGAATTTTAAAATTCTACGGTTTTGTTTGACAATGTACAAAAAATAAAAGAAAACAGAAAACAAATGCCTTGATCGCTTGACCCCCAAAGCTTTTCTACCGATGTACTTGCATAATCCTTCAAACACGTTCAATATCTTTTTTTTATTTAATTTTCGATTCATTGACAAAGTCTCTCTTGTGAAATATTGCATGTTCTTAAGATAATATATATTTAGACAAAGAAGAAATAATAAAATACTGAAAGATTAGGGGGAACCTTTTTTTGGGCCCTTCATGTGGTCACAAAAAATGACATCATGTAGGGTATAGTGCCCTTTTCCTTTCAATTGGTTTTTTTTTTTCCTTCGTTTTAATTAAATCCATTTTTTATAACAAAAAATGTGATCAAATAATGATGATAATGATACCACTGTACATCACAAGAAAATGTGTTGTGGTGAGGCCTTTAATTTTCTATAGAAAAAAATATTAAGCTTCACACTTAAGCACATTCATAAGTTGTAGAAGACAAACATCTAGGGTCCTATTATCGTGCCAATCAACGTCTGCAATCAAGGGATCAACAAATCAAGAGAATCAAAAAATTAAAAATACAATCAGCTCAAGAAAATCAAGGGATATCAGACTATCAAAAAAATCAAAGTTGATCAATGAATTTAAGTATTTAACCATTTTCACTCCTTTGATAATATTAATTATATTGTATAGCATAATCAAACAAACAAATTATATATCCAACAAATTAGAACAACTGGATAATTCAATATAAAATTGAACGAAACTCACACAAAATGAGACTTAAATTTAAAATCTCAAGATTTTAGGATTTCCTCCATATCAGTAGGCCAATGCCTCATATGTAAGTATACTGTAATCTTGAAAATTATAAATAGTGAATTCCTTTTCTATTCTTTTCACAAATTTTGTTCTGTTTATACACGTAAGTTTTCTATTCTTATTTTTCAAGAATTTCAGTTTTTTATCATTTTAAAAAAAATGAAATTCTTGAAAAATATAATTTATAAATTAAGAAAATTGCCCAACAAAGATTTAGGAGCCCATTAGAAAAACCTAGTAACAACTTAAAAAAAAAAGGCTACAATCAAATGTGGGATAGCATTTGAGGTGATATTCTCTTTACCATTTTTACAATCTAGTGATTTTTAGAATATTAAAACTTTTAGGCTCCATTTTGATCAGTTCGAACTATGGATATACTAAAGAAATTTTGGGGTTTCTAAGAACTTTCAAATTTATATATAATTTCTTTTTCATTCAAAATAAAAGCAAGAAGGGGCAGTGTTTCTAGTGAATTCGGGATAGCTACTAGCTGGCCACCAATATTGCCATTTTGCAATGAAATTAGAAATTAAAGTCGTGGGGCACATACATTACAAATGAAGAATAATATGAACTTTTTTCATGAAGCATGCAACATATCCATTTACGTGCCTCTTGCAAATGCAAAATGTCAGTTCACTTGTTACATTCAAATCCCACTTTCAGATAAAATGAATTATCTATCATCACTTATGATACATCACTTATGATAGACATGGTATGGTAATTTATCATCACTTATGATACACGTGGTACGGTTCAATCCATATATAATTAGCAGCCGGTAAAGCTATTAATGTTTAAGACCCTTAAAAGCCCACCAAAATCAATTTGATTTATAAGGAATAAGAAAACATGTAATTACTTCAAGTGGAAATTTAAGTGTGAATATCCTCAATTTGATTAATAGAATTGTAAGTGTTTATAAAATATGATCGATGTGAATCTGAATTTAATTCAATTGATTCATTTAATTATTTTTAAAAATAATATCTAACAGATATTTTCAAATTACAACTACAACATTTTAATTCATCTATCCCTAAATCGTGGCTTTCTTTATATAAAAAAAAAATATTGGTAATTAGTTAGGTGTGACAATAATAATTATCATGCAGACAAGAAAAAAAACAACCAACTAATTTCATTCATTTATGCATATGAATCATGTATTATATTCACGAAATATTTGTTGAAAAGAAATTCTCGTTAAATCATAATCCAACTTTTAATTATATCACGCTAACTTAATTTAGGAAACAAAAAAATGACAGCTGAACAATGAACCCAAAGGAATTGTTGTTTCTAAAAGTATGGCTTGAATTCTTGACTCAACAATTGAAAAACGTGGTTCTCGAAGAATGGCAACAAGGTATCGGCCGAAAAAAAAAAAAAAAGAATAATAATGGCAAACAAGTTGGGGACAGTTTGTCTTTTCATTTTAATGCCGAAAATGGATATAAAATTGTAAAAAGTTTGTAATTAGTCGTACTTTAAGGCTGCAAACGTGAAGCAACTTTTCTTCGTTATTACAGAATGCTTGATTTCCAAGATTTGGAAATTTATAACATATTAGACAACTCAAGCACCCAAATTTCTTCATTGCTGTGAAATTTAATGAAGCTTCTTATGTTTTTCTGTTATAGTTTTCCAGCCGACCAAAGTTGTATACATATCTCTTGTAATTAGGTCAGAAGTGTTGATATATATATATATATATATATATATATATATATACTGTAATTTTAGATTCAAATAAGACTGTAATTTTAGTTTATTACAACAAACTAAAGTAATTACCAAAGTTTAGCCCTTAAATTGGGATGGGTACGCTTTGGTCTCATATTAGTTAAAAGTAAATTGCCTCAAAATGGATAATTCAAAATTGAAGATTCAATTTGAAGATCTCCGATTCAATTATGAAAAACGAGGAAAACATATTTTAATTTCTGAGTAATTACTGAAGAATTTTTATGATTTCTAAAGGTTAATTGAGTTTAGGGTTAAAAAATTTAAAATTAGAATGTGAAATTTAATTTAATTTAATTGATTTATATAATAATTTTTAAGATTTGACATTTAATAAATTTAAAATTCGAACTTTAATACTTGCAACTTTGTTCTTTATCTTCAGGCTATAATCTCTTATGTACTAAAAAAAGAATTTAAAATTAAACTTTGTAATGAATTCAAAATCTAATCCAAATAATTCATGTAGCTATCCTTGAAAAAATAATATTGAATAAGTTTGAAATTTTAATTATAACACCTATAATCTATTCTTTTCTCTTCATATTAAACCTAGTTTGTACCCAAAAATTTTAAATTTAATAACACGATTTTGTGTAGCTAAACAAAATCTTTGTCTTACAATCATAATTCACAATGTCAAACAAATCCAAAACTTTGAATAAAAAAATGAGTTTTGATTAATGAATAATATAGTTTTTAGATTACAAGTTTTGTCAAATAAATATCGTAATAGCAGTGGGTCAAAATTGAGATATGATTTTATTTGGGGTGAATTAATTGATGTATAAAACGCACATACTCACACACAAAAATGAAGATTATAGGATGCTTATGTTAGACGTTACAAATAAATTCAGATGATCCAAAAGATGAATTAATATTGCTTAATCAGAATTATGGGATCAAATTTTATTTGATTTGAAAACCTGTAAAATGATTAGTTTGATTCAGTCATAATTATGACTGAAACTTAGAGCAAACCTGCGACTGAATAGTTAGCCTAACTTATTTCTAGTCATATGAACTCGAAAATGTGGAAATCAAATTGAACTCGGTTTCATATCAACTTTATTGAATTCTTTCTTGACTGGACTGGTCTGATTTGATCCGGCCCCTGCGGATACCACCACTACAAGTATATTAGAATTGTCTTTAGATGAGATCTTCCGAAACAGGGGTTTTCTTTAACCTTTCGGGTCTAAACTTAATTACAAGCTTTTAGTCATCCAGATTTGAGTCTGATCAATACGAGATTTGCCTGAAACTCCCAACTCCAAACCCCAAAATTTTCCTCTGTTCGGCCCCATTGCTCTTTCCCTTTTTGCTTGTTGCAATCATGCAATGAAATGGGCCTCACAAGGGAATTTTCTGGGCCCTAAACCCCTGAATGGGAAGCCTTTAGATGCTTAAACTTTTGCATCATCCGGACGCATGATTTTGCTTACAAAGGATTTTTTTTTTAATTTTTATATTTGAAATTATTTTAGATAAAATCATGATTATTGAAGTTAAGAGTTTAAATATTTTTTATAAACAAATCATATGATTATTCCCTATGAAGTATGAACTCAAACTGAATCAATGAAAATTTCGTTAGGAGATACGTAATGTGAAAAAAATTAATCGAAGTAGTTGATTTTTAAGATGATAAAAGGGATTGTATCCAGATAATTGAAATTCATCATTCTGTCAATAAACATATTGTTGGCTACTGATATTTCTATCAGAAAGTAGTTGTTTTAATTCTTGTTACTACGAATCCACCAGTGATTAGGAATTGTCAAGATCATGCAATATGGACAAATTTCGCTATTAACACCATCAATTCTGCAAGGACGATTCTGTTTAAAATTTTTGTTTTCCTTCGTAAACAATGACAGATTTGTAACTTCCCAGTCATTACAGCCAATTAACTTGCCGCAGAATAGACAAATGTCAATTCAATCCTAATCCTACGATATATATGTTTTATATGTCACTTTGTCTTTGTGTCGGTAGGTCAACTGTTCTACGATGGAAACTGGAAAGAGCTTTAGAAGGAAGGAATAAAGGAATTTTACTGATCTGTGAAAGTCATGTGCGTAAAGTTGACCTTTAAATGGAACCTACGATGACTGTATCTATGAACTTTCCTCAATTAGAACTTGCAAATGCACATGGTTGATGTATTTGGTATGGTTGTGAAATTGTGAAGAAAAATTCTCATGTTAGAAAATCAATTCCTAGAAACTAGCTGCTCCAAAATGTGATTATAAACTGTCCTTAAATTTGGATTTAAAAAAATAAAGAAAAAGAAATGGACATATACATATATATACACGTATATATAGCTTTTCATCCATTGGGGGCATATGTTGAAATTGCAGGGAAATGGGATTTTTATGTTAATGAATCTCAATACAATTTGCAATATAGAAGGGGAAAATTGAAATTGCCAAAGATAGTTTTTGGCTTATTCTTGATAAATTATATGCTTGGTTGTCCACTCCTAACCCCACATGTACCATAAATTAATAATGTTAGAGAATAATAGAGGGAGTGGTCTTAAATCTTAATAGGAAACTGCCATTATTTCCAGCGAAGGTTTGATATCTAGCTGTCTCATGGTTGTCTTCAAAACGAATACAGTGCAGAGGAACAAATTCTAACTAGGGTAGATCTAAGAGGGGAGTTCCGCTTTTTTTTTTTTTTAATTTTTTATATTGTTTGGGATAAATTTTGACAATTAAAAAAATACAATTTAAAAATAAAAAATATTAAATATTAAATATTAAATATTAAATTAATTAAATATCATATCTTAAAATAATTGTATAAATTAATTGTTGAACCTAATTCTAAATTCATTTCAACAAAATTTTTGCTAAATTAGTGAAAGTGTTTGGGTACATTATAATTAAATTTGACAAACAAAAAAGAAAGTCGGTGCCAACTTTTTCTTGGGAACTTTTGTGGCCAAAAAAATTCTAATAGCCCCCACAAGACTATCAGAGCAAACCAACGTATCAATCATTACAAACCTTCCACCCAATTTTCAAATTTCAACCACTTTCTTGGATTCATCTCTCGACAATCTCTTCACGTGCAATGGAAATTGAAAGTTGATTGAGATTGAGGGCCATTTGCAAGGTAGTTAGGGACGGCAATCAATTCCGTCTTCGATGGGTTTTAATTCGATCCGATCTTATAAAGTTAAATTTTTTTTTTAATTTTAATTTTCGGATCGAATCGAATCGGGTATAGTTAGAGAATAATCGGGGTCGAGTCGAATTTAGGTATGCCTAAAACCTGACTCTATCCGATATTTATATAAAAAATTATTTTTTAATTAATTAATTATAATTATATTTATATAATAATATTTTTAAATATTTATATTTAAAAAATAATATTTTATATTTAAAAAAATAATATTTTATTAATTTCGGATCAAATCGGATATGATTTACATAATATCCAATCGGATCGGATTCGAATATTAAAAAAATCGAATAAAATCGAATTCGGGTATGCTAAAGCATAAAGTCAGATCGGATTCGAGGCGAACAAAACCCGCCTCGAACCTGACCCGATGCCATCCCTAAAGGTAGTGCTCTTTTAAGAAAAGATCATTGATCATTGATCTTTGAGTTTTTAATTTTTTATTTGAAATTATCAAAAATTAATTAAAAATTGATCACTATTAATTATACTAAAATAATTTATTATTTTATTCTAGAATATCTTAATTATACTGAATGCGTCAAAGATCATTTTTAACTTTTCCTTCCTCCTTCGTTGTAATAAAAATTCAAAGAGAGAAAAAATAGTATTACCTCATTATTGTCTATATATAATATCGGAGATGGAGCCAAAATCTAACTGCTTAAGGAGTCAAGGGCAGCCTACTAAAGGAGAGGGGCAATTAGATTTCAGGTAAATCTTGAAATTAAAATAATCATAGGCCCCAACATAGTAATTTTTTGAAATTTATCTTAATTCCATAAAAAAAAAGTTAATACTACTAAATATTATATGGTATGTTGCTAAATAAATTCAAACCCAACACTTTTTTTTCTTAGGAAACAACCACTCTCAATTAATTATACAATCATCTCATTGATCTTGTCATTATTGATAATTATTTTATATTAGTTCCATTAGTTACAAACTAAATACTCAATATTAAACTAGTTTGTGTAAAATATTATATAAAAAAAAAAACTAAAACATGTAACAAAACAATAATTTTGATTTTTTATAAAAAAAATTAAAAAAAAAAAATTATCTCTGAAATCTAGACATATTATAAGTGGCAAATGTCTATAAAGCCTTACATTAAATTTACATAATGCTTAGACAAAAGTTGCTAAAAGTAGAAATAAAAATTTTTTTATTACATTAAAAAGATAAAATTTTAAAATAACAAAAAAAAATGTAATTCAAAATCAAAATTTTGATGTACCGTCTTAGCCACTAAGCCAAATAAAATCTTTTGCAAGCGAATTGTCCCTCAACTCAACAATTTTTTTTTGGATTTTTGAATAACATTGTAAATTTCATAGAATAAAATTATTGCTATCATTATTTGTGGGCCTCGCATTTCCATTCACTCTCAGCATGTGCAAAGCTTCACCAGCTTCCGCTGGCTTTCACTTTCATACACATTCATGTACAGTCGTTCATTCCTACAAACAAAATCTAAATCTTTGACAATGTGACCAACACTTTCATTAACTCTTCACGTTGCGCTTTGCCAACACTTTCCCAAAAAAAACACCAAACCAAACCCAAAGCTTCCACTTTACTTCAAGAATATCATGCTTTTTGTTTGAGTTTCTCTAACAATGGACTCGACAACTCTCCTTGATCGTGCTCTGTTTCAACTCACTCCTACTCGAACTAGGTATGCTACAATTTGCTACTTTAGACTTTCATGTAATTGAATCACTGAAATGAACTCTGTGTTTTTCTTTTACTTTGGTTTAATCTGTTCCTTTTTGGGTTGTGAAGATTTGATCTGGTAGTCTTCTCCAAAGGAAAGAATGAGAAACTTGCTTCTGGGATTTTTGAACCCTTCGTTTCTCACCTCAAATTTGCAAGAGATCAGATTTCAAAAGGTGGGTATTCGATTACTCTGCAGCCACCTGCCCCTGGTACCCCCTGGTTCACGAAAGCTACCTTTGAGAGGTAACTTGCAACTGATTCTTGATTCATTTCGTCTTTTCTTTTTCATTAGAGTTGGAATTTATCTTTAGGGGGAATGATTATTTTGCAATGAGTGGAAGAGTTTATTGATCTAATTTCTCTATATAATGGGCCATAATTCTTTTGGATATATGAACAAAATCAATTTTGGTGCCAATTTATCTCCAAAACTTATGTTTGCGATCGACTTGGCTAATCATCTGGGAAATCAAGCATTTAGTCCTTGCACTTCTTGGATTCTTATAAATTTACCCTGCACTACAATCTGATGGTGCATTCCGATGAGCTAGTTCATTATAAGGTGAATGCTTTAAAAGAGAATAATCTGGAAGCCCTTTTAGACTCAAATTTTTTCTATGTTTTGTAGATTTGTGTGCTTTGTTAGCACACCAGCAGTTCTGGAAAGATTTGTCGCCATAGAAAGAGAAATCTTGCAAATTGAGAGATCAGTTCAAGCTAATGAATTAAACGCTAATGCGGATGGAAGGCAGGAGGAAGGTATGTTCGAAGACTTAAAATTTGTTGGCTAAAGTTCTCATTTTGCTGTAATTTCTTTGTTTGCTCAAAGTAAAAACTGCAAATTATCTCCTAATTGATTTTTTTTTTTTTTTGGTATACGGTTCAGATGCCAATGTTAATACAAGGAAATCAACTGATTTCACAAAGGTATTCCTTTTTTGGTTTTTGAATAATTCATAGACTATATGTGATTTTTTTTATTATTCAGAAATTCACATCCCTTTTTTTTCTTTTTGAATTATTCTATTGTGTTTGTTATCTGCGGAATGGTGAACTCAAGACAAAGGATGACATTATACAGGAAGAGAACTCCAAGTAACTCATCTTATCCTTAAATGGCCTACATTTGGTGATACTAATTCTTACTCCTAGTGCAATGGACACCCTTGTCATTCGTTCATTCAGACATTTTCGTGGTTAGGGTTCAACTTCAAAGGCTGCTGGAAACTAGGAAAGCCTTGCTTCGAAAAGAGCAAGCAATGACTTATGCTCGTGGGCTAGTTGCTGGGTTTGCTTTGGAAAATATGGAAGATCTCATTTCTTTTGCAGATGCATTTGGAGCATCCAGGTTAAGGTATATGAACCATAACTGCAAATATTATCAAGAAATAATTATATTTTGAGAGTAAAAACAAAATAAAAATGGGCAAACTTGAAAGTGATTGAAATTAATTAAGTCAAATGACAGTATTTGAATAGGAATGTTCCCTAATCGTTCATGTCATTCTTTTTTTTCATATCAGAATTTGCACTTTCAGATCTTATTAGCAGTTTCTTCTTCAGTGATAAGAAAAACGATTTTTTTTTTCACCGCTTGACTAATTATTGCCATAAATTTTTACTTAGCTAGAATCATTAGCATTTAATCCCAACCTTCAATGCTTTTGATTACTGTCTTTCTTTTACCTTTTTTCACTTTCTTTGGGCTACATGGCTAGATACCATATTGCTGATAATGCCTGATCTCTTGGACCTCTTGGTTGATTTTGTATAGTACTTTACTTCTCTTAAAACTGAAATTACATCTTTATCTGTTCATGATGAATTTGATGAACTCTTCTGTACATGAAATTATCTTTGAAATGGGCATCATCATGCTGCAGATGCACTCAAGTGGTTTGGCTATCACAAACTAGTCACACATAAGCCCAGCTGCTTTTTTATTTTTTTCTTTTTTTCCTGATATCCAGCCCAATTTGAATATTATAATTTAGCATTGATTATTTTTAGGGAGGCATGCATTAATTTCAAGGACTTATGCAAGAAAAAGCATGCAGACCGACTTTGGATGGAAGAATTAGCAGCAGTGGAGGCATGCTCACAGTCAGAAATGCCATTATCGGGAACATCTGGCATTGTGCTTGCAAATGGAATTGGCATCCCCAATCCAAGTATCATGTCAAATTTTTCCATAAATGGTGCATCTAGCAGTGATCATGCTCCAAATGAATCTTCAGAAGCATCAAAACCAGACCCATCATATGCTGGAGCTGTGGACTGCAAGAAAGGTATCTCAGAGATATACAGCTTTTCCTTGCCTCTTCTTTACAGCTTAACAACAACCATACTTCAAGCTGTGCGTCTGTTAAGTCAATACTCAGGCTACTTATCATCATCATTCCTGTTACTATATAAATGGCAGACTGCTTTTTGTTATTGAGCCACCTGCACTTTTCCGTAGAAATGCAAAGCATTTATCCGATTCCCACTTTGGAAACATTCTTACTTCTTGCTTGACATATTGAACATTAACTAGATATCAGTGAATCCTCTTAGATTTCACTGAATGTAGGATATACTTTAGGATTAGAACCATGCTTCTTAGAACACGTGAGGATGGTGAGCATATCATCTCTTATTTTCACTAGATACAAAATCTGTAAATATTCCAATAGATAATGTTTGGCTCCTCTGATATACATGCAGATGAGAATTTACCTGCATCAGATAAGACACCATCAACTACCACAAAATATAAAGTGCCAATGCAATGGCCAAATCAGATACCTCAGCATATGTATAATTTACAAGGCCATCTACCTCCGTATCAAGGATATCCTTTCCTCCCTATACAACCTGTACCACTTCTGTATCCGTTGAATATGCAGTGGCCTCCCAACAGGAATCAGAAGTCATCTTCCAGGCAAAAGAAGAAGTTGTCAAATGGAAAAGGACCTGAATATTCAGGAGATGAAAGACCAACTGAATCCAGTGGTTCTGACTCTGAAAGTGATTCAAGTTTAAACATGCAACAGGAAGAAATAAGGCAGTCATCACCAGATCCTCCATATAGGAAGAAAAACCATAAGAAGTCATCCAGAACAGTTGTCATCCGCAATATTAACTACATCTCTCCCAAGAGAAGCAGAGAGAAAGATCAAGTTTCAGATGGATCTTATTCTGGGGAGGATGATCTAATTGATACAGATTCCTTTAAACAGAAAGTGGATGATGCAATTAAATCACTGAAGGAATCGAGCGAGTTAAACTCAAGAAACGACAAAAGAAGCAACGGCATTGCAAATAAATCAACTGATGCTTCTTATCAGAGTGATTCTGATGACCTTCATGTAAAAAAATTAGAGGGAGGGAAAAGAAATGAAAACTGGGAAGCTTTCCAAAACCTTCTGATGAGGGAAGAAGAAAGTGCAAGTGTGAATGAAGTTGAATGGAAGCAAGCTGAGGATGTTCAGGAACATTTCATGGCTCGAAACTTTGATGGTAAAATTTCTGTAACCACTCCTTTGAACTTGGAATCACAGAAAGTTCCAATTCAGCGGACAATTCTGACTGATTCTTTTGTTATGACTGAGAGGGACGTGAATAATGAAACTAGGGTGAAGTTGGATGATTTCGTTGATGGAGAGAATTATCGTCTAGTCATGAAGAGAGGAGACTGTGTAGAAGTGGATTTGTTACGTCCAGAGAGACTGGCAGAATCAGGAAATAAGCTTGGTAATCTCATATCTGCTTGTGCAAATGAGTCAGCTGTAATCAGGTCTGGAAAGGAAGATGATTGGTGTGTTGGCAATCACTCTGTAAAGCCAGAAAGCCAGGATTCAGATTCAGCCAATAAGCAGATGCTTTTTAATGGTGATCAAGTTTTATCAGTGGAGAGTGATCCGTTATATTCTCAGAAAAGTAGGAAAGAAGTTCTTATTGATGATTCTTTCATGGTTGCCGCTCGGCAAGCAGGTGATAATCAGGATGATTCCCTTTGGAAAACAGATATAAGTATGGTTGCAGATCTAACTTCACCTAGCAAACATGATGGCACCATAGATTCTTCACAAGATAAACATAAGGTACTTGATGTGCATGAGCCAAACGATCTTTGCATGGTGCTTGAAAGAAAACCTGGATATGAGTCCTCCAGACACTCCTGGACAATGGATTATCAAATTGGCTTATCATTCACAGAAGCAAATAGAAGTGCAGCCAGTGAATGTGATGATGAGAAGGTTCCTTCCAATCATAAGAACACTATTGCCAAGCATAATGGTATCCTTGAGAAGAAAAAGCAGGCCCAAGAGGCAAGGTTTAAAGTTTTCAATGGACCCCTAGGGAAGAGCAAAGCTGAAAATATGTCTAAGAGCAAGAAACCTTCCCCTGTTAGTAGGTCTACAATTCAGAAGAGCAAGTTGGAGAAGGTAATGGTTAATCTGTCTTTCAACCAATATGTTGTTATAATCCTTTCCCTTCTATTTCTTTCTAGCTTCTAATGTAAGATACCTGCTACCAGGAAGAGGAGATGCGGAAGAAGATGGAAGAGTTATTGATTGAACGGCAGAAAAGAATTGCAGAGAGAACTGCAGCTTCTGGTTATGCTTCAGCTGTATCCAAGAAATCGCCCTTAGAAAGTAAAGCAGCAAAAAGTTCTGTAAAGAGTGATAAGAACAAAAATCTTTCCATAGCTCAAGCAACAAACAGGGTGAGTTCTATCAAACTTAGGGCAACTTAAGAAAGAGGTTGAGATCCTCTTTGATGATATCCAATCTTTATATGGGTAAACCATTACATTTGAGGAGGATGGAATTCAATCCTGAAATCTCTCAAGGTAAGGAAACTTGCAGCGGTTAAATTTGCCTAGAACATGGAATTACACTCCTCACACATGTTTTAGCTTTTGTGGTTCTATATGAACATCCCTCGTTGCACAGTTTTCCTCTTCAGATCAAATATTCCAGCAGCTAGAGCCCCTTGCAGCTTTTACTATGTACTTTTTCAATATCTCTGAGTTACACCTGTAATTCATTCCGTCATTGTTTGTTTTAATAATTTATAACTATTAAACAAGCTCATAAACATACAGTCCTTAGTTCTTCATATATTTCCTTTACTTTCGTCCTATTGTATTTTGCTGTTTCTGAATGTCAGTCATTATTGTCATGGAAATAAGTAGTTTCTTTCCTTTGTATACTTAAAGACTTCTTTTTGAGATATATGATTCATGATCATCAGTGTTGCGTTGGATTTCAACAACCCATCTTTGCGAGTTCTTAAAGCTAATTTTGGTAAGTTTTTAAGATAAACGTTAATGATCGACAGAATAAATTTTCACTATCAGCCATGAATCATTAACTGTCATTTTCACTATTATATTGCCATGGTTATTGCATTAGTAAAACAAATTGAATTTTGAAAGACTAATTTTAAACAAGATTCTACATATCTTAAAGGGTTCAAACTAGGATACCAAAAATCTCCTAAAACAGATTACCTAAAAATGTTATAGCCATTGATGGGGGTTTCTCGCATTTGCATACCGCCTTGAAAGAAGAATGCAAGCTAAATCAAGACTCGATGCGCAATTGGGGTATAGCTTTGAGGGGTCAGCTAGCTGTCTCTTGATTTATTTATTTTTAATCCTCATTTGTTTTACATTTTAGAAAACATATTCACAAGTTAGAAAATGTCAATTCAGAGAAAATAAATCATAGGTTGTCATTCCCTGATTTCTTGTACTATAAGCTTTGCCCACCGCTCCATGCTATATTTAACTTAAACCATAACTCAAACATCACTAAGGTTTCCATTTTTTTTTTTTTGAGACATTTAAAACATTCATAAAAATATGGGAAATCAACTAAGCAGCTTATTTTGTTCAAAATGATAAAGGTGAATTAAATTTAGTAAAATGAAGAAACAATAAGAAAATCTTGTTGCTTTTGAGATGAAATGATCAGAAAACCAACTCATGATCTTACTGAAGTGAAAAGCTCTTGTAGTTTAGATGGCAACCATCCAAATTTAAACCCATTCTCAATATTTGGTTGGAGATTGAAAAACTAACTCCAAAAAGCATAGACACTAAACCAGGAATTATTGGCCAAAAAAAATAAAGGAATTAATGTCAAAAGCAAACCATGCTTACAAGACAGATACCTTAAAACAAGATGAAAATGCAGTCCATAAATAACCATTTCTTTCATTTTTCTATCCTTGACTTCTCTTTTTAGAGAAAGTTCCAAACATTGTTAAAACAATTGTTTGACTTTGTCATTTAAGGATTTTTTTTTTTGGGTTTCAGGTCACAATTCCAGCCAGCTACCTAATGCGCTGCACGAAATCAAATTTTTTTATGCACAACCCCGCAACTGGATTTTTCAATGTTTCCTTTTTGTTTACTTGTTGAAATATTACTTCTCTTGTTATTCTCATGTAAGTATATATACATTTTTTTAATGTTTATCCAATATCAATATCATTATCATTGTTCCATTGAAGCCTTTATAAAATTTTAATTGGTCGACGTTTTGGTGATCATGCCAGCAATTTGCTGCGGTTTGGCATCAATATTGTTTGGTCGCAAACCATTAAAAATTGTCCAGGTAATGTTTACAATTCTCCCTTGGTTTTTCTTTATTATTCTTGTTGTTCAATCTGCAAAACTATTATCTAAATGCACAAGTCAATAAGATCATTGAATCTGACCTAGAGTTGTTGTATTAGGCAGCCTTGTTATTAAGATTCTAAATTTCAGTCCAATCCAGCATTTTGGCATTGTGAAGAACATATTTACTTGTTAAAAGGCCATATTTTATAGCATTTTCCAACTCCCTCATAGGTTTTCTGTTAACATTCAACTTCCTGTTTCAACAAAGATCCTTTTTTTCAATTTCCTAGAGTTCTCCTATGATTTTTATATGGTTAAATTTCTACAACTTTTCCATTGCTAAATGATCGCATGAGTTGCTGTAGCATATTAAGAACTGCATACCATTTTGTAAGGCCTAAATAGGAACCTGCAAATTGCTGCAAGAAATGCAATTCCATGTAAGCTTCCTGACTGATAAAGAATCAACCAAATTTGACCAATAAGCAATTTTTTTTCCCTTCTTCTCTTTCAACCTTTGTATGGGTTATATGTGTGGGCATGTTGAATTGAAATTCTGATGTTATAAGGTACTTCACAAATAATGCATCACTAAGATTAGTCCATCAGGAATTAATGTTGGTTAATTAATTCTATTGTTCGTAGCAATCCTGAAAGAAAATTTCAACTTGTGCAGGAACTCAAGACCTCTCAGATATGTAAGGTAGCCAAGAATCAAAAGGAAATGAAGGGCTCCAAGAAGGATAATTCATCTCAATCAGCCTGCAACTTCATTCTGATGATGGAGCTTAGGAAAAAAATTATAACATTTAGGGACATCATTGACCTACCACCTTGTAGTACCTCTGTTTCCACAGATCAGGTAGTACTGCCTTCATTTCTAGCAACTCTCCAGCAGCAGCAGAAATACCTTCTCTATAAGTTTGTTTCAATAGTTCTATCTTCCTATATGTCTTTTCTGCAGCTGCTGCTAGGGACAATGAAAGATCTCCATAAGTTCTACCCCGAAAGCATACCCCACTTCCATGTGTCAGAATTGAAAGGATTACCTCTTGATGAGGTTGGCCACTTTTCATAAAACTAGCTAAAAGTAGCTATTTAGATTCTAGAACAACTTCAAGTTTAATCCTATGTTAACAATCTACATGAAATGCCTAAACAGGTGCTGATCTACTTTTGCAAGGCATTGCAAAACCTTGGAGACACATCAAAGGTGAGCGATGAGTGGATAGACAAATGCAAATATGATATATATGAAAATGACAAATGCGACAATGTTGATAAACTCGGTATGTAGTAAATTTTCTCAAAGATTTTACCTTTGGCAATCACTATTATTCTCTGTTATGTCTTTGTTTGAATATGATAAAAAGGCAAAGAAAAATTGATTTAAAGGTTTTGAAGAAAGAAAGTACGAGCAAGAACTTTTGGGTACATCTTCATTTGTGTTTATCCTATTCCTGTACTCTGGTATCAAAAAGGAGTCTAGCTACCTTCTGAACTTAACTAATTCTTGATTGAAATTGATAACAGTTTCCCATTTTTTTCCCCATTTACCTTTCGCAGTTGAAATTGCTTTGGCAACACTCAATGGCTTGGTTAAGATAGCGAGAGAGAAATTTGATATGATGGATGAAGATGACGAAAACAAAGATTTCAGTCCAAAGGCTAACACATTCGGAAAGATCTTAAAGGATTCTTATTTAGACAACAGCTCCTGCTGCCATTCTCCAGTGACCCCAACTTCAGTCCTTCCTGAGTTGATGAATGCTTCTCTAAAATCTTCTTATTCCTCACCTCTTCTGTTGTCTCTCAGGGTTCAAGCAGTGGGGAAACTGAATCCTATTGATGTGAAGCGACTGACATTGCACATGCTTCCCCAAATGGGAGTCCAAGTTCCCAGTTCTTTGAACCAAAAGAAGATTGTTATTGAGGAACAAAAGGAAGAAGCAAAGGTTAATTTTTCAGTGATAAAAGCATTAATTGTTGATGAAACCAGAGATTCCGCTTCTCAAAATGAGACATTAGAGGATCCACTTTCTAAATCAGCCTATGCATATGGTGATAGAACAACAGATGGAAGCAATGCAGCACCACCAAATGTCTCACCAACTCCACCATCATCACCATCAGAGATGCAACCTTCCGAGTTGTCGAGAGACATAGAAGTAGCTACAGAAAAATCACCATCACCACCACCAACACCAGCAGAAGTGTTATCGCAAGCAAAGTTGTCAACAGATATGGAGACAGACATAAGACTACTCCCACCACAAGCACCATCAGCTCCATCGGCAGAAGTTTTATCGCCAACCTCACCATCACAGCCAGGAAAACTGTTAACAGAGATGGAAATAGACATAAGATCGCTTCCACCACTGCCGCCGCCACCACCACCACCACCACCATTATTCTTGCAGCCAAATGTAGTATCAGGAGGACCACCATTGCCCCGGCCCCCGCCCCTATTCCCAATGCCACAACCAAATGTAGAAGCTGCACTACCAACACTAGTAGCATTAGAACCGCAGTTGCCCTCACCACCACTTTCAACGCTGACAAAAACAGCAGCAACTGGAATACCATTGCCGCCGCCAGCACCACCTGCAACGCCATTGAAGTCAAATATAGGGGCAACAGGAGCAACCCTTCCACCACCACCTCCAGTCCCATTGCAGTCAAAAGTAGTGGCAAAAAGGGCACCACTACCACCACCACCACCACCACCATCTGGAAGCGCGTTAAGAACACCGCCCCCACCACCACCCATGATGCTTTCAAAAGGATCAGGACCATTGCCCCCGGCACCACCTCCCATGTTCCTGGCGAATGGAGCTGCTCCACCACCTCTTCCACCTGGTGCAGCAAAATCCTTGCGCCCCAAGAAAGCGAATACTAAATTGAAGAGATCAAGTCATATGGGCAATCTATATCGGGTTCTCAAGGGCAAAGTAGAAGGACGTCCTATGCAAGGCCAATCATCTAATGGAAAAAAGAGTGGGGTTGGAAGCCGCGCCAGTGGGAAACAAGGGATGGCTGATGCATTAGCAGAGATGACGAAGAGGTATGTTTCTCACAGCACTCTAAGAAATAATAGGCACATGAACCTTAATCTAGTCAATTCCGTTTTAAGAATAAGTGGCTCGTCAATTCGTCATATTCTTTACTCTATTTTGGGTCTCAGATCAGCTTACTTCCAACAAATAGAAGAAGATGTTCAGAAATATTCAAAATCAATCACAGAGCTCAAAACTGCCATCAGCACATTCAATACAAAGGACATGACTGAGCTGCTTGCGTTCCACAAATATGTAGAATCCATTCTCGAGAACTTAACAGATGAAACTCAGGTTAATTTGAGACCGTTTATTTAGCTAATTATCTACTTTTATTGACTTATACTGATGATTCTATTGCTTCATGCATCGTTGTCCTACCTCCAAATGTTTTCGACTAAAGGTTCTAGCAAGGTTTGAAGGCTTCCCCACAAAAAAGTTGGAGGCATTAAGAACAGCATCAGCACTTTACTCGAAGTTAGAATCAATGATGACTGAACTACAAAACTGGAAGATTGAGTCTCCTTTGGCAAAGCTTCTTGATAAGCTTGAACGTTACTTCAACAAGGTATGATTTTGCTCTTGGATAATACCATTCTGATCCTTACCTTCCAAGGCATTCTCCACAACTAACCAAAATGATAAATTAATACCAATTACTTAACAGATCAAAGGGGATGTAGATGCCCTGGAGAGAGCCAAGGATGAAGAATCCAAGAAATTTAAGAGCCACAATATCGATTTTGACTTCCAGATTCTTGTACGAATAAAAGAAGCAATGGTTGATATTTCCTCCAACTGCATGGAGTTGGCAATGAAGGTAACTCGATTCAGAATATGTCATAAATATAACTAATTCTCAAATCTCAATCAAATTTGAGGGTTGTTATTTACCTAGCACATGATAATTGTATTTTCCATTTTTGGGACTTAATTCAGGAGAGAAGAGAAGTAAAGTTGGCAGAAAATGAAGGGTCCAAAACCAAAGCGGAAGCACAGAAGAAGGTGTGCGTTAAAATGCTGTGGAGGGCTTTCCAATTCGCTTTCCGGGTTTACACATTTGCTGGAGGACATGATGATCGTGCAGACAAGCTGACCCGAGAACTGGCTCACGAAATCGAGACTGATCCTTAACACCATTAATTATAATACCCATGCAAAGTATTGTATAGCACATACCAAATTAATACTACTTCTGTTCGAATTGTGATTTTTATGGCCTTTGAAATTAAAACTGCTTCCGGCGTTTGAAAAATGCTTTAAAGATACTAGCAAACTCCCCTGCCTGAGATTGTAAAATGCTAATTTTTTTTAGTTTATATTTAATGTACTTTCTATTTATGCACAATTATTAACCCTTAAAATAAATAAATAAATAATTAATTAATATTTTTAAAAAATAAACTCTTTTTTTTTCCTTTAACAAGTGCTGATTGATCGTACTTTACTACTATTCTAGTTACTGACCTTTGAATTTTTTAGAATTTTTTTGTTTAGTTTTTTTTTTTTTTAAATTATGACACATGACAATCACATGAATGTCATGATAATCATATGTTATTCATATATTTAGTGTTAGTATATGTGTTAAATTTTTATTGATTGACAATCACATTTGCCTTTTTTTTTTTTATCAATGTTAAAGATTTGGATAATTTGATATTCATATTCAAAGTTAAAATATTTTATTAAACATGTTTTAATTCAAATAACACATTAAACATTTTCTAATAGATAAAGAGCTGTAAAGGACATTATCCATATTTATTAACAAAAAGAATGAGAAATAAAACCAAATTACTAAATAAAATGTCACGTTTTTCTTTATGAAAATTTCAATCTTCCAAATAACAAATTTATCAAACCTACAATAAAAGTGAACCACCGTATGAAGCTAAGGCAGAATAGTTTCTATCCTCCGGCTGATATGTTGTTGTGTAACATTTATACGGTCCATAACAATTTAATTACACTTAAAAAAATAATTTTGATAATAATTGAAGATTAAAAAGAAATAATTAAACTGATATATGTGGAAACTATAATATTGTGTTTTGTATGTAGGAGTTTAATAATAAAAAAGAAAAAAATTAATTAGTTGATGACAATGATAATAATGATATTGATTAATTAATAATATTAAAAGAAATAAATAATAATATAATTGTAATTTATAAAATCAATAATAACTACCATAAATTGCTGATTAAACTTATAGACTTCGCGCCCCCCGTAAATTACTTCATATCATTCTTTCATCACTTATAACATTAAATTTTCTCTTAATTTATAAAACAAATGGTAGAAGTAAAGTTTATTAATTAAGTTAGAAGTTTCTTTTTCATTATTAAACACGGAAAAAAAAAATCTCGTCCATTTATCCGGAAGAAAAACACATAATACATGCACGACAAGACCCGAACATAAAATCTAAATAGGTTTCCTTATTCCTAATAACATATACGTGATGGCCTTATTTATAATTTGAGATACATACATAAAACAAAGGGAACATAGCGATCGATCCATCAATCCCAAGAACACAAGGATGAAGAAAACTATTTCCCGGATTCAATGGAACAAGCAACAAATTAATTGATCAGTCTCGGATATAGTCGATATTAGTGTTACCAATAGCAACAAGACCCTTCCCTTCTTTGGGCACCAAAGTCACCACGATATTATCATCACCTTCAACATCCAAATCCTCCAACAAATCTGATAGCGGTAAAGTCAAGTTTGTCTCCAACTTCTTCCCTTGGTTATGGTTATGCGGCAGATTCGTAAAGCTCCCTGCAAACTCCGAATCTGCTGGTCCAGTTGGTGCCTCATCATTCTCATCGTTAATGTACACATCAAATTACACCGCTACATCTCTTTCTAGTTGAATGCTCTGCAGCGCCAATACTTCTTCTTCATGTTCTTTTTCAAGCTTACTCCTTGATTTCTTTGGCCTTAGAATCTCGATGCTCACTATTTTGTCTAAAACTATAGGGAAGGCATTGCGGATAACGCTTTTTTATTGTTTGTTTCGGCAGCCACTGCACGACCATGATGATGATGATGATGATGATGCCTTCCCCCTTTCCCGGCAAACTTTCGAGGACTTGGCTTGGTTCTAAGCCATGGATTATCAACTCTTTGATAACCGTAGCCCAAAGTTCTGGTGTCAAGGCAATCACGAACCTTCACACGAACAAGATTTGCATTCTCATCGTAGAAAATAAACGAGGCATCAAGCCAATCTGGGTTAGTGAAATCATTTCTCTTGTTTCCTGGTAATGCCTTCCAAATCCACCACATTCGGTCTACATTGGAATGATGAGCGTAGAACAATGGATCTCTGCCTCCAGAATAGAAATTCCCCATGTCTTCTGAATGTGGCTGTCTTTTGTCTCCACACTACCTATGGATCGGGGTATGAGGAATGCTCTCAATGGCACCCATTCCAGGACTGGGTTTATCACCCGCACGGTATGCCGCTCCATGGAAAAGAGAAGGGGTCTTGTTCGACACCATCTGCCTGTACATAAAATTGAGATTACTGTTTATTTGATCTTCCTTTGTTTCTTCCTCATCAGTGCCATTGTAATCAAGATCAACCAATACGGGTGGCTGGTGGTTCACATTGCGGTTTTCATCATAGAGTGGACAGATAGGGTATAGGCATGCCCTCAGGAGCATCCCAATTCCAAAATGGCATGGCAAATTCTGGATCACCAATCAACTTGCCCAAAATCCTTTCATAGAAATAAAGATATAATCTATGGAATGGGAAAAAGAGCCATGAGAAATGAACTTGAAGATCAAGATCGGGAAACCCAACTTGATCATAAGCCCCGTTACAATAAGCACAATGTACAGCTTATTCCTTGAAACTACGTGGATCATCATCAGGAAGATCTTTCATGAGCTCCATGGCCTTGGTAAATTTAGCTAAGTAGTCAGGATCAACTAAATGTGCAGCAGGCCTAGAGCGTATCATGGAAAATGGCGGTGGTTTGAAATCTATGACCTTAGTATTTGACGGTGGGCAGCAATAGATAGTCTCCGTCCCTTTAATAGTTGCATCACCACAAAGGGTCAGGTCAGGGGCGCGGCTATTGGGGCTGCTAATGCCAATGGGTCATTGGCAAGGCTGGCTGCACCATAGAGACCTCCTAGGTCAATAAGGACATCCCTTCTATCAAACCTGTTGAGAGAAGAGTCTCCATTTTTTTGGTTCCCATCGGTGGCTTTGCATGGCACTACTTTATTAGAGACAAAGCTGAAAGGCTTTTTCCTCTTGAACAAGGAAAGTTGAGATGTTTTTGGAAAGAATGAAGTTTGAAATGAGGAATTGGGAACAGTGGTGGGGGTTGAAGAGGAAGGGACAGTGGCCATAACTTGATGTGATGGTACTACTGTTTTGATGAAGATGGAGACACTTTTGCACGGAATTTATAGTGAATCAATGGGGTTGGATCCTTGTCGTTATTAATGTGCATTAATATTTTTAATCCAAAAAGGAGTTCCTCTCAATGAAAACGCAGTCTATATACACACTCTCTTATAAAATCAACTTTTCTAAAGCCCCCCCCCCCCCCCCTCCCCACAAAGAAAGAAGGTGCAAAAGTTGACGAAGAAATCACGATAGAGATTTCTGTCCATTGGAGAAGTTGACTACAAGTGACAGATATGCTTACCAACCATTTTCACATGCTACGTTCTTAAACTAATATAATTGAAGTGTACTGGATCAACCTACACATACATGAATTGTTTTCGCTTAATTAGAAACTTTCAACTGATGCTAGATTTATTTCATTTTAAACAATAGTGTATTTTCTCACACGCGGCTCTGACAAACTGCGTAGATAAAGCCGATGTGCATGTGGTGTAAAACCCAATTCGCCGCCGTTGAACATAAATAGTAAGAAAAGTGCAATAAATATGGTCGTTGGCTTTTAGTTTATTACTATAATAAGGTTATGCGATTATCGAAAGCGCCATGGGTGTGGAGACCCGCCACTGCCCACCACTTTTACGAATTTACGTTATATCTCATTGGAAATTTAAGACTCGTTATACTTTGGGCTTTGGCAACGGTTCAATAAAGTTCTCACAAAAAGATCAAAATAAGTTATTTCATTTTGGCTATAGCTCAAAACTCAATTTTTTTTTGTTTTCAGGTTCTTATATTATTTTTTTGGTATCATGTTTAAATTTTAAAATATTCAAGTCATCAAAATCTGATATTTTGTTAATTTATCATCTTTAACAAGTATTGCTACAAATCATGTGATTGTATGACTTTTATGCTTTCAAAATCATAATATTGCTGTATTTTCATTTTTTTCTCCCTTTTTCAAAGATTAACAGATGTCGAAAAAGCGTAGGTTAAGTTGTATCAGACATATTTTTGTATTGAAAGTCACTACAGAGTTTTAGGTTTTTAATGGCATTTTTTTAATGTTTAGTGGCGTTTATAACCGCCACTAAAAGTTTAGCGATATTTGCGAAAAATGTCACTCAGAATGGCCGCTATACAAACATCATGAAAAATAGCAACGTTTTCGAAAAAATACCTCAATATTAGTAGCATTTATATTTGAAACGCCGTTGCTTTTTGTGACGTTTGTAACTGAAAACGTCTCTATATTAGCAATGTTTATATCTTTGAGATGTCGTTAATTTAGTGGTGTCTATAAGAAAAATATCGTTGCTTTAGTGGCGTTTGTAACTAAAAATACCTCTATATTAGCGGCATTTGTATCTTTGAGACGTCACTAATTTAGTGATATTTTTATGAGAAAAATACCGTTGCCTTGGTGACATTTACTGGTAAGAGCACCGCTATTTTTAGTAGCGTTGTATGATATAAAAGCCAACTAAATTAGTCATTTAGCGACATTGTTGAATACAAATACCGCCATTATGTAAAAATGTATGTTTTTTAATTTCTGTTAATAAATTTTATTTTCATTAAAGAGCTTAAATTCAGAAACTGAAATTAATATAAACTTAATTCATGTTTAAATATACATCTAATTAATACAAAGTTTAATAATTAGTATAATAACATTCAAATATTTTTAATACATTAACAAAATCAAAATTAAAATGTATGAAATGGATGACTGCATACATTTTGC